ACCAGACAAACACTTACACTTCGCTTAACCATCTGATTGGGCAATCAATTGTCCGGTTGGAATTTTCCTACAAATACATTCCGTTCTAGGCCAGGGATGCTCCGTTTTGCAGGAAACTTGGACTTCGCGTGTGGCATCATCATGGATATGGTCTTGCATGCTGCCATCAGCCCGTAATCTAACACCCTGGAGGGCCTTACTTTCTCTGCTGAAATCATGCGGCAATCTAAAAGTTCCCGTTTGGTGCTTTACTTGTTAAAAACAAAAGTAATGAAATCCAAGTCAATTGACCGACAATTTGTTCCACAAATAGTCTCTTTCCCCGTAAAGAGTCATGCAAATTGATTATCTTCTTTGGATCATTTTGCGCCAAAAGAATCTTCTTCCTGCAATGTCTGTTTTCATGGAGAAAAGAGGTCATTTGACAAGACGAAAGGTTTTGAGAAAAGAAACACAATTATGTGCGAGGAACTACGTAAATGGAGCGTGTCTACAGTATGTAATGGAACAAGTATAGTAGGTATTTTGTGACAAGAATAGGTATCTACATCAAATGTAAGTAGCATATTAGTGAGTTTAGGGCACCGTCAAGTACTACGGGTCAGCGTCATTGAAATGATCCCGTAATGCGAGAGCTTGTAAAGAAAACTGTGCTGATTGAAAACCATGGACTGGTGCTGAGATGAGGGGACAAATCACACCTGTGAAGAAATATATTATACACAAACACGACGCATCGGCACGTGTTCTCAAGCCATACAACAACACTGATCAATCGGACTTTGAAATGTCACTCATCCACTTAGACTACAGTCCTCCATAACCACGCACCGGCAAGACTAGGAGAAAGTTGGAGCACCTTTATAATACATAAGGTACGTCTCATAAAAAGACCGGAGCCTTGCACGAGGAGGAACCTGCGCTGTAATGGTATCTTTTGTTTTGGGCCTCTAAACGATGCATCAGCTCTCACTTTGTATATAATTCCTCTTTATTTATAGATGCAAAATTTGGTATTTAGTAGTTTTTGAACGAGTTCCGGAGGATACCGGAGGCAATTTCAAAGGAGGGGAAAAGAGATCAGTCATTTCCCGTTGCGTTATGCATTTCCCGTAGTGTTGGCATCAATGGTAATAAGCACGGGTCTGGAAGCCGGCGTTTCGGCATTGGTCGGCACTAGTTGATGCCAAGCCCCATCGTGTCCCATCGGTCTCGGAGTGTTTGCCAATACATCCCGTTGATTCGGACCCAATTTGCAGACCTAGCCTTGCATGACGCTACTTAATGCTCCTTACAACATGTTGGAATCATTCTATTCTGCGTGACTTTCAATATTAATGTGAATCGGGGTCGGAATCAATGGAAACTTATAGCAATTTCAATCTTTTCTCAGCAAAAAAGATTGCCTTTTTCAATTCTATTTTCAACAAAAATTGCTGATGATCCACAATGAAAACAGACTGGAAAAAGACAATCTATTTTCAGTTCTCTTTTTGGGAGAAAGAGATATCTATTCATCCTACAAATTGCTCTATAAATCGACGTAGATTTCCCATATCTATTTCTCAACGGAGAAAAGAACGCTGAAAATCGGACCACTAGATTGACACGCCTTTTCCGCGGAAAAAATAAGGCCATCTGCAGCGATTGCAGTGCTATATAAAATTGGTCATCTCGATGCAAAACTGTGCTGGACAAAACATGTAAATCTCGAAATTTTTGGCGCTCGCCTGATCAGGGAACATCAGAGGCCCTGCGATGCCCTGATTTTCGATGTACGGGACAAAACTGTGAGGCGTTTGATGATTTCCAGGGTGATTTGTGCTCAGAACGTCACACCCTGGAATGGTCTAGTATACATCACATGCTTTGTACAACAATCTACGCGGCGCGCGACCACCTGAAACTCACGGGACTCCCCAATTTGAGAACATCTGACTGAAACCCACCAGTTCATGTGTTACCATCTTACAACACTGCGAAGGTCACTTTGCTTGGCGCCTGACACACTCTGGGCCCAGTCACCAGTCACCAGTCGCCTTGGCCCCTCTGCCAGGATCTTTATTTTATGCAGCTCTTATTCCGACAGCGAAGCTCACCAGGATGTTACAATGACTACCGCCAGCGTGAATTCGTCGAAGCGGTATTAGCTCCAACATCGTCTATCAACGAGCCTCGCGTGCAATCACTGACAAAGTCCTCCCGGAATACCAGTGCGGCCCGCAGTGGCTCGCTGCATAGCAGAATTGTCGTTAGTGAAATTAAAGAACGAGTCAAGCGTATAGCAGATCCTATCTTTACTCAAATTATAGTGGGCGATAACACCTTTTTCGAGGGCTGTCAAAGGTTCTGGCTTCTCTTCCTTTGGCCGTATTCCCTCTCGGCTGTCATAATGGAATGTAGATCACCACCTGCTCATCAGTGTACGTCGGAAGAGTCCGAGACGGGTTGCGCTGGCATTGAGGAGCGCATCTTCTCCAAGAGCAGATAGGCTAGATTTGTATTGCCACTCCAGTCGTGTAAAGGGAGCTCGTAGTATCAGTTTACTTGATTTCAAGGTTTCGAGTTTTTTTTCTTTGGCTTGAAGAACATCGGTCTTTGTTGTAAATACCGGATCCGCGACGCGTTGTCGCCGCGGCAATATCCTGGCAGCTGAGAAGGCAAAGAAGATCTTGAAGTCAGATGGGATCTGTGACTTAGTTTCCGTTTTAGGCATCTTGGTTGTTCGTCCCTCTTCCATGTTCTTCCCTGCCATGCCACCCACCTGGATTCTCCTGCAACAGGATACGATGGTTGGCAAGGATAGCCTGATTTTCCAAGTCATCTTCGTGCTCAGCCCAAACCGCGTGCGCCATAAAAGCGTCCCGGGTCTCAGCAGTTGGCGCCCAGTTTCTTTCCTTCCTTTCTTTCTCTGTGAACGTTTTGTGTCACAATGATTTCTGCTGCAAATTTCGTTTCTCTTGCCGTTCTGGCCAAAATAGTCGCCTCTGTGTCCGTCGGGCCAGTCGCGTCACTCGTCGTGGCGAACGCTACGATCGCTCCTGATGGCTTCCCCCGAGCTGCTGTTCTGGTTGGCGGGACGTTCCCGGGTCCTCTCGTCACCGGGAAGATCGGGGACAACTTCAAGCTCACGGTGGTGGACAACCAGCAGGACAATCGGATGCTGGAACCGACGTCGGTTGTGCGTCCAGCCTTCGTTGAATGTACTGAGGGAGGGAGCTTACTGAAACTCCATGTAGCACTGGCACGGTCTGTTCCAAAATGGGACCAACTACATGGATGGCCCGGCATTCGTTAACCAGTGTCCGATTTCGCCCGGAAATTCGTTCACATACGATTTCACGTCCCAGCAGGCTGGGTGGGCGATTTTTCCGTTTTTCCTCGCGGGAGGGATGCGGTGCTGACATGCGTCCAGGACGTTCTGGTACCACTCTCACTTGGCCACTCAGTACTGCGATGGCCTTCGCGGTGCGATGGTCATATACGACCCCGCAGACGCCTACTTGAATCAATACGATGTGGACGACGAGTCTACCGTGATCACTCTCGCGGACTGGTACCATGTTTTCGCCGAGACGGTGGCTGGCGTCGCGTGCGTTTTTGTTTTCTGCTGGAACCCAGATATCCACTTGCTGACGACTCACTCAGCACGCCGGCTTCAGTTCTCATCAACGGTCTCGGACGCACGGCTGATACGGCCAGCAACACCACGCTCTCGGTTATCAATGTGACAAAGGGCCTGCGATACCGCTTCCGTCTGATCAACACTGCGTGCGACTCGGACTACGTCTTCCAGATTGACGGGCACTCGAACATGACGATCATCGAGGCGGACGGCGTGCTGCACGAGCCGCTCAGCGTCGATTCCATCCGCATTTATGCTGGTGGGTTCTGGAGGGTAATATTCGTGGGATTGCTGAATAAACCTGCCAACAGGACAGCGCTACTCGTTTATTCTGACCGCCAACCAGGCCGTCAACAACTACTGGATCCGTGCGAATCCCAGTACCGGCCCGACGGGTTTTTCTGGAGGCATCAACTCGGCCATTCTGCGCTGTGAGTTTTTTTGGCTCGTGTTTCGACGTGCTCAGGACGGCAACTTATTTTTTTCCGATAGACGTTGGTGCGCCTTCTTCTGAGCCAACCACCGCACAGGACACGTCCGTTAAGGCTCTCGTGAACGAGGTGGACCTGCACCCGCTGGTCAACCCGGGAACTGTCGGGAAGCCGTTCAGCGGTGGTGCCGACGTCCAGGTCAACCTGGCCCTGGCTTTCGATCTGGTGCGTCGATCACTATGAGCTTGTGGACGTGGACGATAATGACCATTGTATGATAGACGACGTTCAAGTTTACAGTCAACGGTGCCTCTTTCACCTCCCCGACTGTTCCCGTGCTGCTGCAGATTCTTTCTGGAGCCCAGCCCGCCCAGGCGCTGCTGCCTGCGAAGACAGTCTACACGCTCCCGCACTTCGCGTCTGTCGAACTCACCCTCGCTGGTGGAGTTATCGGTGGTGGGGTACGTCCCTCTTTATTTTTACCAAACCTGCGCCTCATGTCTACCACCAGCATCCGTTCCACTTGCACGGCCATACGTTCGACGTCATCCGTTCGGCCGGTAGCAGTGTCTACAACTACGTTAACCCTGCACGCCGCGACGTCGTCAACATCGGTAGCACAGGCGACAACGTGACCATCCGTTTCTTTACAGACAACCGTGGACGTGCGTCGTTGTTCTCTTTCTGTTTTACCGCATCTCTGACCTTGCGTAACTACTATCACTACACACAGCATGGTTCCTCCACTGCCACATTGACTGGCATCTCGAAGCCGGCTTTGCTATCGTCTTTGCAGAGGCCGTCGACGACTGGAAAGCCGAGATCAGTCCCAATGCTGAGTGGGATCAGCTCTGCCCGAAGTACAACGCTCTCTCGGCTGAAGTTACCTCCCTCGCGGGGTAAAGAAAAAATCGAAGCCTCCCCATCTTCACGCTCGTTAATGTGATCTGTTTGTTACATACTGTATTCTCGATTAATGTAGATGTACGTATTGGTTCTTCGTCGTTACTAGATAGACCGTCTGACACATGCTTTGTTTGGTTGAATTCTGAAGTTGAACATCCACGTGATGAGCAACGTGCCTATCGAGCTGACTCAGCCGTGCGTTTCCCCTTTTGTCCACCAAGGCCTTGTTGTTCGCCTCCCAAGACTACATACTTACCTTTTGTAGTCTGCTGTGAGCGTCTCTCGGCTCACTCTATCCCCCCCACCATGCACTCGAAACTCATTGCCGCAGCGACTGCGCTGGCTGGATGCGCGACCGGCGTCGTCGCCTGGGGAGCTGCAGGTAAGCACCACCGACCCATTCCCTCCCCCACGCGTCGCGTAGTAACCTCTCCCCAGGACACGAAATCGCCGCCACGATAGCCCAGATCTACCTAGACCCCAGCGTGCTCCCGACGATCTGCACGCTCCTCAACTCCACGTCGACGGACCCCACCGCGCCGCTGTGCCACTTGGCGCCCGTCGCGACGTGGGCGGACAAGTACCGCAACAAGATGCGCTGGTCGGCGCCGCTGCACTACATCGGCGCCAAAGACGACTATCCGTCGCGCACGTGCGCGTTCCCCGGGACGCACGGGTGGGCGGGGCGCGAGGGCGGCAACGTGCTCGGCGGGATTCGCAACGTCACGGACATCCTCGAGGGCGTGGTGCCGTACGGGCGGCGGGGCGAGATGTCGACACAGCAGTATGAGCTCGCGAGCGAGGCGCTCAAATTCCTGATCCACTTCATGGGGGATATGCACATGCCACTCCACCTGACTGGGCGCGACCGCGGAGGGAACTCGATGAAAGTGGCTTTCAACGGCCGGCAGACCAGTGCGTGTTTGGCTCTCTACTTCTCCGCTGTCGATCGCTCAACGCGAGCCTGTAGACCTGCACTCCCTGTGGGACGGGCTGCTCATCGCGAAAGCCCTCCGCTCCGTTCCGCGCAAGTACAACCAGCGTCTCCCCTCGCGCAAGATCGAGTCCGCGCTCCGGGGAACGATCTACGACTCTTACGTGCGCATGATCATGGTCGAGGGCGTCCTGTCCCAGTGGCAGCGCGAGCTGCCGGACTGGCTCGCCTGCCCCGCACAATCAGCGCCCGTCAGTCTAGCTATGCCCACCTCCCTCGGCACGTTCTGGCAGCAGGCCGTGTACGTCTGGGAGCGCGTTACCCGTCGCTCTTCGGCTGCTACGGATATCGACGACGCTCTGATCTGTCCCTACTACTGGGCGCAGCCCATCCACGCGCTCAACTGCGAGCTCGTGTGGCCGAAGGCGCTAGACGAGCCGCCCTACGACACGATCTCCGCCGCGCACGACGGTGACGCGCGCACTTACCACGGGAGCGATGCCCACGGCCGAGACACGCTTGCGGCGGAACTCGACCAGGTCGACGCGGCTGGGCGCTTCACTGCTGGCACGCCGAGCAAGCAGCATCTGGAGCTCGACACACCCGAGTATTCGGGGAAGATCATGAAGGACCGGGTTGTCGAGAAGCTTCTTGCGCAGGCCGGGATCCGGCTTGCGGGGGTGCTCAACTATCTGTTCGCTGACTTGGACGACGAGGAGATGATGGTTTGGAGGAGTCAGTTGCGCGTAGATCTCTGAGTCTGGTGAATGCGCCGGGAATGTACGATATCTAGATTGTCAGATGTGTGACGAAGGAATGTAACTGAATTTGTGTAGTACGCATGCGAGCTGATGGGGTGACCCGGTGCCGCATAGCTGGCCGACTCGGAATGAGTGCTCATTCTGCCAGTGCCGATTGAGAGGTCAACCGAAATGTTGCTGTCCCAGGGCCCGCGTGGGTGCATGGTTGACGTCATGCACACACGCCATCTGACGGTCGCGGCTTGGAACACGATTGGAAGCCAATTGGGATGAGTTCTTGCAACTTCCAAGTTCTCCCTCGTCGACTACACCTACGCCTAGACTCTCCTGGAAAAACTATCCGAGGTGCTTTGTCATAACTGTCTACCGTGTTCGGTGAACGCGCAAGCAGCGTGCCGCATAGGTCTCGCACCGAGCGCATAAGCACTCGGCTCACGACGAAGCCAGCCCGGCCCATATAAAATGCAGGCAATCCGCCCAGCATCCGAACACATCTCTCTCTGCAATGTCTCTCTGGCAGCCTCCTCCCCCACCGTCCACGAAGCTCGGCGTCTACCGCACGCTCTCGACGAAAGCGGGTGTGCACGTCTCGCCGCTGCAGCTGGGTGCGATGAGCATCGGCGACCAGTGGGCCAAGTTCGGCATGGGCTCGATGGATAAGGAGTCGAGCTTCAAGCTGCTGGACGCGTACTTTGACGCGGGCGGGAACTTCATGGACACCGCCAATGCCTAGTATGTCGGTGGGGATTCGACGTGATTCGGTGGCTGACGGCCGTTGCAGCCAGGACGAGACCTCGGAGATGTTCATCGGGGAGTGGGCGGAGAAACGGGGAATTCGAGATCAGCTCGTCCTCGCGACCAAGGTCCGCGGCGGCCTTCCTTGCAGTCTACGACGTGTTCTGACTTCCGCGGCCGAATCTAGTATTCGGCCAACTTCAAATCGCGGCAAAACATCGTGCAGCAGGTGAACTACACGGGCAACAACGTCAAGTCGATGCATCTCAGCCTCGAGGCGAGTCTCAAGAAGCTGCGCACGACGTACGTCGACCTGTTCTACGTGCACTGGTGGGACTACGACACAAGCGTCGAGGAGGTCATGGACGGGCTGCACAATCTCGTCGCGCAGGGCAAGGTGCTCTACCTCGGCATCTCGGACACCCCGGCGTGGGTCGTCGCGGACGCGAACCGGTACGCGCGGGATCACGGGAAGACGCCGTTTGCGGTGTACCAGGGCATGTGGAACGTCATGGACCGCTCGTTCGAGCGGGATATCCTGCCGATGGCTCGCGCGAACGGTGCGTCGTCGCCTCGAACTTCTCTCTTCGAACAGGGAAGCTGAACTGCGATGCAAGGCATGGCTCTAGCCCCGTGGAACGTCCTCGCACAGGGGAAGCTCCGCACGGATGCCGAGGAGGAGGCTCGCCGCGTTTCGGGCGAGAAGGGCCGCGTGACGTTCAGCCCCACGTGGGAGCGCAACGAGCAGGAGAAGAAGATGTCGCAGGCGCTCGAGAAGGTCGCCGGTGAAGTCGGGGCAAAGCACATCACGTCCGGTGCGTTTCTTTACGTTTTGGATTTTCCAGTACTCGATCTCACCGAGATGTATGATGTAGTCGCCATCGCCTACCTAATGCACAAGGCTCCGTACGTTTTCCCCATCATCGGTGGGCGCAAAGTCGAACATCTCCTGGCCAACGTCGAAGCGCTCGACGTCAGTCTGTCGCCTGAACAAATCGCCTACCTCGAGAGCGTCTCACCGCTGGATCCCGGCTTCCCCAATTTCATGATTGTACGAGCATTCTTTGGATGATTGGATAAGCTGTCTGACGTTATTCCAGGGCGATGGAACGAAGAACAGCAGCTTCTTGGCTTCGGCGGCGCACTTTGACCGTGTGCCTATTGCACAGAGCATCCCTCACAAGAAAAGCTGAACGTCGATTGTACTTTGGTAGCCTAGTCTCCTGATCTGACCTGAATTGTATATTGAAATGGAGATCGGAGATTGGCCGAGTATTTCAGAAGCTCTGAAATGTAGATACGGAAGAACGAATGATCGACCCATGTGGTCTTTCGAAACAGGGTGCACGGATTCAGCCGGTGATGCTCGAAAGCTATTTTCGGGTTCAGTTGTGCGAGGTGAACCTGTGTGATTTCGGAAGAACCAATTCTACCGCACGTCTCATCTAATGTAGAATCCATTCAGTCAAGCACGATTTCAATTAGCCCCAATTCGAGAAAGTAATATTATGATGCTGCCAGAGCGCCCAACTGGTTAGATTCAGATCACATCTGCTGCATATACTGCGTAAACGGGAAATAGCCACAGCTCGTCGAGCCGCCGGTGAGATCAGCCAGGCTCTGAGCGAGCTCGCCTTCGCTCTGCGCGGGGTTCGTCGTCAGGAACACATGCGACGTCCCATCCGCCATCAAGCACAGCGCCGTGTAATAGAAAACGGGGCTCGAAGGCGACGAATCACTCGGATCGCCCGGGTCCAGCGCCACCGCGTACGGATTGAGCGACTGACGCACATCGTCGGCGGTGTAGAAGTATCTGGCGCGCGAGAGGTCAGCACGGGCACGAAGAGAACGCAGAGACAAACAAGACATACAATTGAACTCCCCCATCCGGAGGCGACGCGGCGACGACCAGCTTACCCGTGCCTGCTTGAGTTGGGACGGTGTACAGGACCATGGCCGCGGCGGGCGCAGTGCCGTACGTCAGCCCGTCTTGACTGACCCACCCATTATAGGGGTCCGCGCCGTCCATGCGGGTGACAACCACGCTGCCTTCGACAATCCAGTCCATCTGCAGACGCGCTTTCTCGCACTGCAGGTTGGTCGGGATGGGAGTGCCAGAACCGGAACCGGAATCATCAGACGACGATGCAGCTGGGGATGGATCGTTGTCCGAGGTGGCTCCGGAACTGGATGGGTCGCTGGTGGATGGATCGCTCGCCCCGGAAGAACCGTCGCCAGCCGAAGAGTCGCCAGCAGCTGAAGGATCAGCAGAGGCGGATGGATCACCAGCATCGGAAGGATCGTCACCGCCGGACCCATCAGGCGCTCCTCCTAGATCGGACGAATCCTGCCGACGTCCAATCCCGTCGTTCCCACCCGGGCGATCGTTCGCAGAAGGGTCATTGCCATCCGAGTCGTCGTTGTATGTCGTCGTTCCGCCCTTCACAGACGAGCTTCCGCCGGGAGTAGACTCGTCGGCTGAACCAGAGTCACTGCTGCTGCTGCTCGAGGAAGAGGCCTTGCTGTTTATGTATAGGTCAGTCTGTGGCACCGTGATGCGTCGACGCAGGAAGCATACCCGACGCATTCATCAAACAGCGGGAACGTCAGCGGCGGGTTCAGCAGCTGCAGCGGCTTGAACTTGAGCGCGGTGACATACAGCTCGTTCTTCAGCTTCCCGGTGAACCGCGGCTGCAGTGCCGCGCACTTGCCCGCCTTGGTTGACACGCTGCCCTCGAGCACGAGCGACACCTGGTCGTTCATCGCCGCCTTGCCCGTCAGGAAGCTCACCGGGATCACGGGGAACAGAGACGCCGTCAGCGCGACCTCGAGTCGAATGAAAGGCGAGACGGTGATCGTCAGCGCGGCCTCGGGGACGAAGACCGGGTGGCAGGCCGAGCTGAGGTCCCAGGTGCCGATCATTCCCGAGTTCGACGCGTCTTTGAAGTCGAGTTTCGCACCGACGCCTTTCCACGCGCACTCGAATCCGGCTTCGAGCATGCCCTCCAGTTTGATCGAGTAGTCGATTCCCAGAACCACGTTGGCTTCTGGTCCCAGTTTGAGCACTTTCGGAACCTCGAGGCCAGCGCTGAAGCACGATGAAGGACATGGCGTCCCATGACAATGTGGGAAGGCAGATCTGCTTACCCTGGAATGACACCTCCAATGGGATCCAGCTCTTTCTTGTCTTTGTACGTGTCTGCGCCGGATGAGAGAGTTGTTCCGCGCGCTGAAAAGGTGCTTACACGTCGCTTTGATCCCAAGCACCAGTCTCAGGTTGACATCTGCATCCAACTGCACGTCGGCCTGTGTGAACCCATCGGCAACAGCTGGAGAGATTGAAGTCAGAAGCCAGATATGCACCGGCGAGTCGGTTACTCTTACTCCCGACGATATTGGCGCTGAATCGGATAGTGGCCTCTGCAACGGAAGTCGGCCTCCCCGAAGCAATTCGCCGAATGAGCAACTCACGGACACCACACTGGGAGCAGAAGAACTGGATCGACTTGGTGGTCGTACTGGTCGCGTTCTTGCTGGCCGAGGAACTGCCACCCGCAGCCTGAGAGGAGCTCTTCTTCCCCGAACCGGGTTTCTTCGGTGGATACTCGTAGAGCAAATACGAGTCGTTTGGTTTCTTGAACTTGTCCTTCCACGGAACGACATCCTGGCTGCGGAACGTTCCGGTCTTCTTGGGGTGCTCATTGAACTTGATGAGCTTGCCCACGACGTTGACGGCTGCATGATCTGAGAGGAGCCATGGAATACGCAAGAGTGGACCCACCAAAGTTGAGCACCGGGTTGATCTTGATCGCGATCTTAATAATGTCACCAAACGAGAACCCGCGACTGCTCAAGTCCGACTGCGTGACCACCAGATCCCGCGCCTGCACCATGTGGGGTACATGGACGGCATCTCTGTACGGACTCTTGGGCTTCTCCAGTGTATAGGTTGCCGCATGCACGCGGATCTCCTCGTTCGGGTGCACCGTGTCGTGAATCGGCACAGTCTCCATCAGGCACTCGATAGTCCGCTGCTTGTCGTCCGTCTTGAGCGTCCCAGACACCAGGTGGAACGAGCGCTCAGACGACGTCGTGCCAGCGCCGCACCCCGGCACGTACGACACGAGGAAGAATCCGTCCTTGTGCGCTGCCCAGTCCGCCTTGGCCGTGTCGTACGCCGCCGGGTGCGAGAATCTGACCGTGATGGTGGAGGACGCGGCATCGCAGGTGACAGACGAGACGAAGTGCGACCGCTCGACCAGGACGGTGGGATACCGGTGCTTCATATGGATCAGCGCCGCGCCTTGGACCGCCGAGTCTGCGCCGTCGTCCCAATGTCAGCCAAAGGCGAGGCAGAGGGCAGAGCATCTGGCTCACCGGGGGATGCTGCGTAGTACAGCGCTGTGTGGTGGTCGCCCTTGAGGTTGTTCAGGTCGCTGGGGTCGTCGTTGGGGTGCAGCGTTGGGTGCAACGTCGTCAGATCGCTTGAGCGCGGCTCGCGGTACGCCCCGCCGATGAACGTCGGCGACGCATGCGCGAGCAGCGTGTGGATGATCACAGAGGTCGTGATAAGGATTGCAGTGAAGCGGGAAGTGCTCATGCTGTATGATACGCCTGGATCCCCACACGACACAATCCGCCCCCAGAGATGGCTTTTATGCAGACGAGTCGAGCTCAGCTGGGAGCGGTATAGCGTCTCCGCAAGTGTTTCTCATCAGAGGCGTGCAGCTGCGACCTGGGGAAAGACACTCTGGGATGTGTGCATACCCGTCCAGACCTTGCTCTGCTCTCCTCCGGCACGTCCTTCCGAGCTACTGGAGACAATCGGTACCAAACGTCGATTATTCCGTGCTAGGATGCATTCCCGCGCAGGGGCGGCAAGAGTGAGACCATCTTGAGAGCAGGGAGAATCGTTTTCGGTCAAGCTTGGGTGAAAACGGCGCGGCCTTGCGAGTAACAGTTGTTCGCCAGATAAGTGGGAATTGTCTTTCTATGCTAGATCCGGCTCTGCAGACGGAAACGTTGTGGACATTTCGACATTTGGCCTGTTGAGTCTTGACGCCGCTGTTGTGTACTGACATGATCTCGAGGGCATGAGGACGCGGTACATACATGGAAAGAATGTGATGGCGAATCCGAATAGATCCGAGCGAGTTCCGAATCAGGACAGCAATCGGGATTAGTGATGCGCGATCAGCTAGTCTTTCAAATTTAGCGTCCGCAGTGTCCGCAGCTCTTTAAAATACTCGCGCCGGCATGCACGATGTCTTATTGTCAACATCCAAGGATGTGGTTGGGTATGAAAACTGCTGCCACCACGGCTCAAATGTGAAGGGGTCCACGAGGTCGCGTTCGATGTCATGCTCGATTGGACCTGGGTCAAACTCTTTCCCCCGCAGTCTGTCCATCCCTGAGTGCTCTGCTAGCTGCTCTCACGGCTCGATCTCTATTCACGTTTCAACGATTGTCCGCTGGCTGCGATCACTGTTCCTTCAAACTTTGCCGGCCCATAATAAGCACACGAACGATTCGTTCGAGTGAGTCTCATCATGTCCACTCTTGCCTCTTCTCTTCCTGGTGCGCGGGCCAGCTTCGGTGGCGAGGCCGGCGCTGCGCTTGTCTTCCTCGGAGCAGTAAGTGATTCCATGGCCAGCGATCAGTCTCACTCACGCGTGCACACAGTATCTTGTAGTATTCGCGTGGATGCTGTTTGGCTTCTTCACGCATCGCCTGAAATGGCGTTCCCGCTATCTGCTGCTATTCTTCCACGTCACCATCCGGCTTGCATCCCAGGGCTGCGGGATCGCGTTTGGCGTGCTGGGGTTCTCGAACGTAAACGTATTCCTGGCGTTCCTGATTCTCGGTGCCGAGGGCTACTTCTCGCTGGTGCGCAGTGCGCCTCCCCCGCACCCCCGAGCCGCGCCTACCTAGCCAAAACTGATCCCGCGCAGGTGCTGTGCGCGTTCCGCTTCCTGATCTCCTGGCACCAGCACAACCTCGCGTCGGGCGAATCCTGGCTCGCGCCGCGCGACGCGCCGACAAGCCCCGCCTCCAAGCTACGCAAGGCGCTGCGGTTCTCGCTGCTCGGCCGCCTCGCGTCCCGAGTCTCCCGCGGCAGCCCGATGGGGCTCATACACTGCCTCCTCATCGGCGCGAACGTCGCTATGGTCGTGGGCGGGTCGTGCCTCGCCGGCGCGGACCTCGCGCACCCGGCCTCGCGCGACACGCGGACGAGTCTGCGCGTGTCGAAGATCGCGCGGTCGGCGGGGCAGGGCGTGTTCCTTGCCATCAATACCGCCCTGTTGTTTGTTATTCTCGCGACGATCCGCTATAACCGGCGGGATGGCGATGCGCGCGGCAGGAAAGGGACGACGCATCCGACGCTGGTCCTTCTATTCATCGCCTGGTTCCCGCTCATTGTGCGGGGCATCTTCGGGCTCTTGCAGGCCTGCGTGTGGAGTGTGAGTCGCTCGTTGTCTGCTTTTGGCTGCCGTCCAGCGCTGATGCTCTCCGCGCTCACAGCTATCTTACTACAATCGTGCGTGTAGCAATACTCCCTCACCTTTCCGGTAAAAATTGATTTCGTTCCAGCTGTGAATTACAACGCAGGAGGCTTCACCTCGAGATTCACCGCACTCGAATACATCCTCGGTGTGCTCACCGAGTGGCTTGCGTGCGTGGCAAAAACCGTTCTGTCCCATCCCGCTTTGGCTCATGGTCATTCGCGCCAGCTGCATCATTCTGAACGCGACATACCTGACGTCCCGGCATGACTCGGAGAAGCGGGCCCTGGCCAGAGTGAATGAGTCAGACCGCGTCGAAACTGACGACGGTACATCGCTCAACCGGCTGCACGGCCGAAACGTCGAAGCGTAGATATTCAAGCGCTTGCGAAGGTGCCAAACTTGCCAGTTTACTAATTTCCGTATGAATCTTCTTGGGAATTCTGAGGAAACAGGGTACATCATGAACCGAAGTTCAACTGAAAACAGATCGGGTTAAATGCTGGGAGAATCAAGCCATATGAACTTGTTTCTTGAATATGCTAAGCTCAATATTGGGCACTGAGAAGTTGTTGTGAGAGCCGACCACGCTCGATGGCAACCTTCCGCATGCCAGCTTGAGCACAGCCGAGCCCTTGTGAATCATATATTCCTTGATATACTCTTGGGCACTCGGTTGGTCTCTTGTCGCAACGCAGGGCCTGTGATGTTCGTCCTCGGGAGTTAATTTTTTTGGTGGAGAAAACAGTCGCAAACGAGAGGACGAGGGAGATGAGTCACTACTCCGACTCGGTGGAGTGGGTGGCCTCATGCTAGATTGGCAGTCGGAGAAGGTGGAGTGTTAATTCTAGGGTGACCTGGAGGAGACCGTAGTGCATATACTGTGGTGGCTTTCGCTATGAACGCCTCGATCAATTTTCTGTGATGTGTGTCTCGTGAGTTTTTTCTGCGTCATGCAGTTGAGACGTCTACCCCACAGACATAATCCAAGTTACACAATCATTTTCACGACGATTTCGTGGGATCTTGGTCTTTGTCATATGATCATCGTCAGCGCTTGTCCGAGACCGCGGCGCTCAAGGCTCTTCCGTAATCGTGCGCACGATGGTTCCCTTCTTTTTCTTGTTACGCAACATGAGCACGAGCAGCGATGTCTGTCATCGGGACAAGTGCTAACCTGACACGAGCACTCCGCGCGGATTTGAATTCATCGGGCGTGTTATTAAACAGATAAACGTCTAGAATCGAGCAGTTTGGGACAATCTGAGGTCGAGGATCAGATGGAGAACAGTTTGTATTTTTTCTCTCCTGCTCGACTGGTGTAGGGTGGATCATGTGACAGATACACTTGGCTCCGCGTTTGACATTTCCCCCTTTGGCAATTACGCCGCTTCTGGCTCTGTCCGCGTCTGTACAGTGTACGGTAATGCTTGCAGTCATCATCGCCTTGTATCCAGACTCCAAACTTGATTTCCGACTTGTCTCGGGATACGGAGATGGTGTACGCCTTGACGTGCATATTGTCGACAGGTATAAATCCAGCCCTGAATCCCGTCCCAGACACTCAACAACAGCCCCAGTGCATCTTGGTTGTAGATCCCTCTCGCAATGTTCTCCTCCCGGACGCTTCTCCTTCTCACTGCGGCCTCTCGCTTGGCCTACGGTAGCACAATTGGGCCGGTGGGTACTCTTGTAGTGGCCAACAAGACCATCGCCCCGGATGGCCTCCCTCGTGCCGCCGTTCTCGTCGGAGGGACGTTCCCGGGGACACTCGTCACCGGACACATTGGGGACCACTTCCGCCTCACGGTCGTCGATCGACAGCAAGACATCCGTATGCTCGAGCCCACGTCCATCGTAAGCAGGTTGCAAGTCTTTCTTCCCTCGGATCGCTGAGATAGTCCTGGCAGCATTGGCATGGATTATTCCAGAACGGGACGAACTACATGGACGGGACCGCGTCCATCACTCAGTGTCCCATCTCACCAGGGAACTCCTTCACATACGACTTTCCCACCCATCAGGCTGGGTGCGCGCGTTTTCTTTGAGATTTTTCGTCCCATCTGATCCCATCTGGTCTAGGACTTATTGGTATCACTCGCACCTTGCGACTCAATATTGCGATGGTTTGCGCGGCCCGATCGTCATCTACGACCACAAGGACCCCTACCGCCACGCATATGACATTGACGACGAAAACACCGTGATTACGCTTGCTGACTGGTACAACGTATATGCTGAGACGGTCGCCGGTCCCGGGTGAGTAATGCTCGAGGTATTGAGTATCTAGATCAAAATCTGATATCTCGACGATCCAGCATACCCTCGTCGATGCTCATCAACGGTCTCGGACGTACCGCTGCCACGGTGTCGAACACAACCCTCGCCGTTATCCACGTTAAGAAAGGCCTGCGCTACCGCTTCCGGTTGATCAACACGGCCTGCGACTCCAACTACGTCTTCCAAATCGACGGCCATAAGAACCTGACCATCATCGAGGCAGACGGTGTCCTCCACGAGCCATTGAGTGTCGACTCCATTCAGATCTTCGCAGGTGAGCAGCTTTCAAAACTCCTATGCTATCAGGCATTCCATTGACTGCTGCAAGGCCAACGTTATTCGTTCATCATGACTGCGGACCAAGCCGTCAACAACTACTGGATTCGTGCCAACCCAAGCACAGGTCCCACTGGTTTCGACGGGGGAATCAACTCCGCAATTCTCCGCTGTGAGTACACATGCCTGGATCTTCTTGTCCCGTTCTCACCAATCACTTTCAGACTCCGGAGCTAAACATGTTGAGCCGACGACTTCGCAGGATGCCTCGGTCAACGGTCTAGTGAACGAGGTGGACTTGCACCCGCTCGTCAATCCCGGTGCTCCCGGCCGCCCGTTCATCGGTGGTGCTGATGTACAGCTGAATTTGGCGTTGGGCTTCAATCTCGTGCGCTCACCAACGCTTCTTCCCTATATCAGCTTGGAATCTGAAGGAATGACAGACAGCGCTGAAGTTCACGATCAACGGCAATGCATTTGCCGCTCCGACCGTGCCCGTGCTGCTCCAGATTCTGTCAGGCGCACAGAAAGCACAGTCGCTGCTCCCCAGTGGATCGGTGTACACGCTCCCGCACCTTGCGGCGGTCGAAATCACGCTTGCTGGGGGCGTGGTTGGGGGTCTGGTCAGTCGTATTCTCCTCCATTCCTTGATTTGCGAGCTCATCGATTCGACAGCACCCCTTCCATCTGCACGGACACACCTTTGATGTGATTCGCACCGCGGGCAGCAGCACCTACAACTATGTCAACCCTGCTCGTCGTGACGTCGTCAACATTGGCAACGCCGGGGACAATGTGACAATCCGCTTCTTCACGGACAACCGCGGACGTGCGTCTCAATTTCACCGGCCTGCTTCACGTATCGAGTCAACTGATGATTGAATACCAGCATGGTTCCTCCACTGCCACGTTGACTGGCATCTCCAGGCAGGTTTCGCCATCGTGCTTGCGGAGGATGTTCCCGACTGGACGCCGGATCTGATGCCCACTTCGGAATGGAACCAACTGTGTCCCATCTATAACAAGCTTCCGGCATCCATCACGTCTCTTGCTGGATGAGCTCAATGATGAGGTTTCTTCGAAAATTTTTCTTGCAGGATGACCTACTCCTGCTATCACTGGTTGAGGTTGCTAGGCGGGAGGGATGTTATTTTGTCTCTTAGTTTAATCATTTGTTTTACTCCCTGTTAATCTTCAGATCAAAAATTCTACTCTGCCAAGTTCAACCGGCTGGCACGTAAATAGGGGGTTTCTGCTGCTATGCAAGGTGTTTCTTGTGGGGCGATGGGATCAGGAGTAGCAGTTGATTCATCTCGACGGTCCGTGTTCCCGTGTATGTAGCAACCAATGCTCAGTCAGATTTGGAATTGGGTAGGTCTTCAATGACAGTTCATGGTAGCCAATCATCTTTCCACCACTTGGTCAATTCAATTGCATTCATATTCTTGACATGATAGAGCAACAAGTTCATCATTCAACTACGTTCAGTCTTTGGAATGCGGGATGCTTTTCAAACGGGGTACCCGATCAAAGTGTCCAGCGGTAAGCATCAAGCCGCTGTACGAAGTGCCATCCCCCTGGGATCGAGTTCAGTTCTGAGCATACTTGTCCCGTGGGACGAGCCCAAAATATACACGCACAATCAGACTGGCGGGGAAACCAGGATCAAATGTCAACACATTCTCTAAAAATTCGATTTGGGCTGGGGAAAGCGAGATTTCGAGGGCCTCGAGGTTGGATTTGAGGTGTTCGACCTTCCTGCCTCCGATGATGGGGAAACAGTACGGCGCCTTGTGCATCACATAGGCGATCGCGACTGGCGAAAATGGAGCAGATCGATCGGAACTCATTCATCAAAACGCACCTGCAGCGATGCTCTGAGCCCCGACCTCGCCAGCGATCTTCTCGAGCGCATGCGAAATTTTCTTCTCGTTCTCGTTTCTCTCCCATTCCGAGCTCATTATCATGCGTCCCTTCTCTCCTGAGACCCGACGTGCTTCCTCCTCGGCGTCTGTGCGGAATTTCCCTTGCGCGAGGACGTTCCAGGGCGCGAGGGCCATGCCTATTCGAGGTCAAAAATGCGTCCAGTATATGTTGAAATAGAGAGCAACGCGCACGGACCATGTTCGCGGGCCATGGGAAGAATCTCTCGCTCGAAAGATCGGTCCATGATGTTCCACGCGCCCTGGTAGATGACGAACGGCGACTTGCCGTGGTCAAGCGCGTACTGGTTCGCCTGAGACACGACCCAGGCGGGCGTGTCTGAGACGCCGAGATAGAGGACCTTGCCCTGCGCGACGAGATTGTGTAACCCGTCCATGAGCTCGCGGATGCTCGTGTCCCAGTCCCACCAGTGGACGTAGAGGATGTCGATGTACGATGTGCGGAGTTTCTTGAGACTCGCATCGACGCTGAGGCGCATTGACTTGACGTTGTTCCCAGCGTAGTTTACCTGCTGCGTGACGTTCCGCCGGGCTTTGAAGTTCATTGTAAACTATTAGATGATGGTTGAGAATCTCTGAAATCATTTCTTGGCTAATGTGTGACATAACGCACCTTGGTTGCGAGGACGATCTGGTCCCGGATGTCCCTCTGCTCCATCCATTCACCGATGAACAACTCGGACGTCTCATCTTGGCTGTGGAACACGGGTCAGCTACATCAACCCCTGTTGATGTCGAGCCCGCGTCGCACCCGGATGACGGTCAGAGACAGGGAGAAAACTCCCCAATCAATATACAAACAAATGTACAAACATTGATGGACCCTATCTTAACAGTCCCCCTCGTGCGAATGACCGCTGCGTCTGAGCACGACGCACAAATCTGAAATTTCGTCACTTGAATTCCAGGCCTTGGCCTTTCGCGTATCCATATCGCGCCAGCCGCCCGTAAGCCATGACGGTTTCCCTTTTTGAGTGCCCACTCCCACATGCGTGATTCCGCCTTGCCGCTCCGTCGAGTCCCCCTGATAGCTCTCCGAATCGCCTTCGTCCGGCTGAGCTTGGTCCGACCCGTGTTGCAGCGCCCTGCGTTCGGCTCTGTGATCCAGCCGCCCGCCGTACCTGTCGCACTCTGTGACTCTCCACATCTCATGTGTCTGCTCCCTCCCCCTGCTCCTGCGTGACGATTCACATCGGGAGCATCTCCAATGCTACGTCCAACTCTCGCACCGTCCGCACATCCTCGGGCCCGCCCTGGTCCCTCGTCACCCCTATAGTCCCCCTCACCCAGACGACCGTTGCGTCTCTGGGTGACATCTGTCGACATTGGGTGAGGAGTTGTATGTGTGGGAGGGAGGGAGGGGGGGAATCGATATCTTGTGCCTGCAGCGAGTGCCTGTATTCGGGAAATGGAGTGGGGGATTTTTGAAAGGCAAGATGTGGTGGATTAGGGTGATATTGACAGGGAGTCGTCCTGCCCAACGCCGGGCCTGTGTTCGCGAGCGGGCCGCGACGATGTCAGAGCAGGTGAATCCCGCAAGTCTGACTGCGAATCTGTTGATGTCGAGCCCGCGTCGCACCCGGATGACGGTCAGAGACAGGGAGAAAACTCCCCAATCAATATACAAACAAATGTACAAACATTGATGGACCCTATCTTAACAACCCCGGGTCATGGAAACATTAAATTACTATGCATTCGCGGTATCGATAAAGTTGCCACCAGCGTCGTAATAGGCGTCCAAGAGCTTGAAGCTGTCCTCTTTGTTCATGGCACCCATCCCGAGCTTTTGCCACTGGTCGCCAATACTCCCAGCCCCAAGCTGCAGCGGCGAGACATGGATTCCAGCGTTCGGGGAGAGAGTCCGATAGACACCGAGTTTGGTGGGCGGGGCAGGCGGGCGATCGAAAAAAGACATGATGGGTCAACTGGGTGGTTTGATCAACTAGTGTTGCCGCGGTTCAGTTCGGTCCGGTTTTCACCCAAATTCTGCGAACCTTGAACTGAACCTGAGGTCCGGTTCAGGTTCGGTCAAAGCGGGTGAACCGGACCTGCGGTTCGGTTCTTTCGGGTCAAGTTCAGGTTCGAACTTGGTTCGAACCTCGAACCTGAGGGTGCAAAATGCCCGCGCTATGCAACATGCAACAGGTACAGAGCGCCATCGTTGATCATAGCGGTGTGCATCATGTGAAGATTCACGTCCCTAGCAACAATTTTAGGCACCTGAGACTTTCCTGAGGGGATTAGAGCCATTGGAGTACTAGTCACATGACAAGACTGAAGCATCACGCACACGCACACATGTAAATACATTGCCTACGAGAAGCACATATGACCTGCTAGTCCACTATTATAGGTATGATAGCTGATTCCGTGGGAACATGCATGCTCAGAGGTGTATTTCTGCTACCAATGAGCCTATGACTACAGGCCAAAAACTCAGGTTCGAACGGGTTCGAACAGGTTCGGACCGGTCCAGATTTTTTCACCTCCAGCTGAACCTTGAACCGGACCATCGGTTCAGTCCGGTTTCGAGCATCTCGGCGAACTGGACCTGGGGTCCAGTTCAAGTTCGAACCGGGTTCACTCAGGTTCTGAACTGGACCACGGCAACACTATGATCAACAAGCAGATGGGAATATCGAACTTGTCCAGCAGCCGAGTATATGTACTGGAGTGATTCCCCGGGGAAGCCATGGTTGGTCAGCAAATCCCGAGTGCGTAGAGATGGGATCCCGTTTGTCAGCCCGTTAGTTCTTCATTGATTTTCCGTCGCAGCCGGGGTTTGCATTGCAAAGGCACGTGCGGCATTCCGGCTGGTTGCTAGATCACCGATGCATGGCTGTGCCGCATTTCTGGAGTGAGCCACCCTTCCTCTGTATTCTCCGCAGAAGAGTATGTAGAAGAGAGAGGTTTGCATTGCAGAGGCTTTGGCAATGTACCGCGTAGTGCGAGAGATCATCGAGTCACATCTGTCATGTGCCGACATTTGGGTAAGTTTCTTGGGCCAAAGACAGGTCATACTGTGTGACTGTTGACGAGCCGTCGGCAGCACTCCACATGAGGAAAACCCCCATGACGGGTTGCGGCAAGTCATCAGTGTAGGTTGACCCATCGACCATCGAACTCAATTTGCGTGGTTGAATGGCTAGATCGTGACTTTGCCGACGGCCTGCGACCGCTTCAATTTCCATGACAGGTTGCGGCGAGCCATCAGTGCAGGTTGACCCATCGACACATCGAACTCAATACGCGCGGTTGAATGGCCAGATCGCCACGAAACTCGCCACTAGACTTTTGATCTCAGAAAGCCTTCATCTTTATCATCCTCAACTTACAAGTTGTTGCATTCAGGTTGCTTGGCACCACAGCGGCACTTTTCGTCCGCAGCCACTTACGATAACATCCCCACCTTTTTGAGCATCCAACTGTTGAAGAAACCTCGCAAGGCAACAGACAGCTCGACGGACAACTACCAAAACTACGTTCTCACATCTGGTCAATCAGTGGACGCGTCGCTTTAATGTACTCAAGCCAATTTTGTCCGCTTCCTCAAACTGTGTGCGCCGGCGCAGCAATAGAGGCGCGGAGGACACCGCCATTCTCAACTGGCCATGCTTCACTTTCTGTTCGAACCGGTTTGATCCGGCTCTTGACGCGGTCGGGCAATGGCATCCAAGATGATTCGTCGACTCCCCAATGCGTAAGTAAAATCAATTATATTCTGTATTTTATATGACAACTCAGGGCCCCCATCTGCTGAAACAGTTTTTCCGTCATATACAACAGCCAGGTAAAGCACACGGTTCACGCATCCATCGTGTCCAGCCTAGCCGGTAGGATCAAATCAGCGTGAAACTTTTCATGTGAAGTCAATCTTACTGGAAAAGTGAGGATTTCGCTGCCTATCAACGGAAATCTTCAGTTGAACGCCATTTGCTGGCCATAGATCACCACGCCTTCCTAAAAAGGCAGTCGGGGAATCACACGTGGTCGTGGACTTTGATCGCATCATTGATGTGCTACGAATTCTGCGCTGTCCTTTCTTGGCAGGGACTCTCCGTGTTCTCCTCCTCTTCTATCTCCACTGGCGGCGCATTCCGTCACATCTCCCCTCCTCTCACTCCTTGCAACTCGAAATAGAAGATGCCGTCGCCGCAGCGCGAGGCTGAGGGCAGCAGCGACCTCCAGCTGCTGCATCGCGTGATCCGCTACATGACGGGCGTCGCCGCCGCGTCGTTCTTCACACAAGTGCATGTCATTGGTGGTGAGAATGTGCCTCGAGAGGGGCCGATCATCGTGTACGTCCTGCTCCCCTGACTGCGTTCCTCCCTGTCCTCGTGCTGCCTGGCACTGTCGTTACGCTGCTTCCAAGTACTTGAGCTGACATCCTCCTCCTTGGCAGGACAGCGACGCACCACAACATGATGCTTGATCCAGTCATACTATGTGGGTGCTCATCCTCATCGTGGCTGGCAATGGGATAATTTCGTGGACGCGTGCTTGTATGCGAATGCGTGTGCCGCCTCGAGGTCGGTTACCACGACTACTCACACGAGCATCGTGTCTGCAACCTTCCCGCCAAGCACCACCGCCTCCATCTCCGCAAATCGCACGAACTGAGCCACGTTCACAGCCTACACCTTCCCCTACGCGCGTATCCTCAACTACTGGTCGAAGGCCTCGCTGTTCCTCAATCCCATCGCGGCCTGGGTGCTCTACTCGTCCGGCAACATCCCCGTCGACCGGCGCTCGAAGGATCGGCGCGTGCTGCTGCGCGGGACGATCGAGGCGCTCGAGAAGGGCTGGGCCGTGGCGCTGTTCCCCGAGGGCACGAGCTACACCGAGCCGCGCATCATGCAGGTGAAGGACGGCGCGGCGTGGGCTGCGCTCGAGTACGCGCGCATGGCGAAGGAGAAGCGCGAGCGGGGCGAGGGCTCGGGGCAGCAGGTCAAGATCGTGCCCGCGGCGATCGTGTACACAGACAAGACGAAGTACCGGAGCAATGTGGTGGTCGAGTACAGCCCGGCGATCAGCATGGAGCCGTTTCTAGAACAGTTCTGCTCGGATGAGGAGGGCGCCGCGAAAGCTGCTGTGAAACGACTCACGCGCGCAGTGGAGGCGTCGCTGGTCAGTACGACGATCAATGGCCCCGACTGGGACACGTTGTATGTGGCGCGAATGGCGAGGGATATCATGTGGGAGGACGGCATCAACCTCGATGACTGGGTGGCTGTTTCTCAGACGTAAGCCATTCGTTGGTGATTGTGTACAGCGCTCAGTGCGATAACAGACTGGTCGATCTCTTTGCGACGCCGGATGCCACGTCCAACATGCAATCGGTCAAGCGGACATTGCTCGAGTATTACTCTCTCCTCCAGTCAACGAACCTGACCAACTCGGTGCTGTCAAGTCTGCCACTTCCACGAACCCTGGATCCAAATACACCTACACCGCTGCCGGGTCGGATACGAACTCTGCTGATCCTGGTTCGGGAGACGGTGACTGTGCTGATCCAGCTGCCGTTTTTCCTGTTCCCGTTGGTCGTGTACATGCCCGTGTACTTCATGGGCCGACTCGGAGCGCAGATGGTCGAAGACGAGGAAGAGACGCAAGCACAGAACAAACTTGTGTTTGGAATGCTCTCGATGGTGCTGATCTACCCGACTGCGTTTTTCTTCCTCTGGGCATTCTTCACGTATACGCGCACGGGTGCATTGATCGCAGCTGCGACATTGTGGCTATTTGCCAAGTACCACGACTCGATGATCAATGGTTTGCGGTTGGGCTGGGAACATGTCGGCTTTTACTGACTGTTCCACAGCCAACTATCAGAAGGCCAAGCGCCTTCTCGCGACATGGCGCGTGATCACCGCTCTGTGGGGGCCCAAACGCTGGGACCTGTCGCTCGCGGCACTGACGCCCTACATGACTCCCGTATTCCCTAAAGAGAGCGACTACGTGACGAAACCGCGCACCCCGGTCCCCGGCTCGCCGGCCGTGACGCCGACCGTCCTTCCGCCGGAGCCCCAGATCGGGAACAAGGCCGAGCCGCGCGTGCAGACGCGTCCGAAACGGCGCCGCCCGTCGTCCCGGCGCATCATGCGGCACGTGCTGCGCGCGCGGGTCGAGGCGGTGAAGGCGCTGGCGATGTTCTTTGAGCAGCTGCGGGCGGAGAAGGACAAGAAGGTGGCGGCGAGTGTGTTCCTGGCGGAGACGTACGGCGGCGCGGTTGCGGATGACCAGGGTGGATGGAGGTATGCCAGCGAGGTGGTGCAGTTCTTGACGCGGCGGGGTGCCAAGATTCCGCAGATCAAGGGTGTTAGGATCGACGGCGACTGGGCTGCGCTGACGAGTGATGTCGACTCTGATGCCAATTGAGTTTGTGCTGGTGTTTGTTTTTGTTTCATTTAATGTAGTTGCTTCGCCTGGTAATTGCAATCATAATTCCCTTGAAAGAGCCAGGAAGTGGACAGGCGAGCTTGCGGCGTCTTGGTTGAACTCTCAAGAAAATCACAGAACTCGAAGTGCCAGGTGAACGATGAATATCGATGAATAACGACAGAAATAACCCTGATGATAACAAGCTCAGTAGACTTTGATCCCACACGAATCATGATCAACATCTAGCCAAGTATTCTAAAGCGCTGTTTCTAATTCAGCGCCAGCGGCGTGGACTTGAAACCGTAACTGACAACAGGATACCCAGCGTCGTGTCCCTCCGCGGCTGACGTCTCACGGGCGGCACGTGAGCCCTTCATGTTGAGAGTAATCTGCAAGACCGTGTGAAGATCTGGATGACAATCTATGGACACTGCGAGGCGACGCACGCTGTTGGTTCAAAAATAATGCAACTGCGTGTGTTATGAGTCACGGCATGCATCATGTCGCCGAAAATGCCTCGAAGCACCGGCAGACGCCGGGCGCGCGCCCAGCCCAGCCCAACCTTGTTTGACTTGTGACAGCATGCGAAGACGTGCGGTGGACAACACTTCCGCACTGGACCCGAGTTCGCGGACGGATCCCCGTAGGCTTCCGGGTGTGTGCTTCGAGACGTGTGAGGGCAGGTACATACTGTACATACACAATTACGCGCGGGCGAGTGTCGCTTACGGCTGTGCCTGTGCGCTCGAATCGCCGTGCGCGGTGCCTCACCGCTCTTGGTCCGGGATCTCGCGCGCGGGCTGGAGGCTCGAAGATGATAATGGATGATGGATGACGCTGATTACTGCACACGGCACATTATCGGGCCCACTGGGCGTGGAGGCCCGGCTGCGCGATGACGCAGGTGGCGTTTTGGCCTCTCCCCCCTGCGGGTGTTGTGAGGCGCTTGGGTGGTCCGGCAAGCCGCAGGTGGCGGAGACTCCGTAAGCGGGGAAGCACGATGTCTGACAACGAAGGAGGAGTTAGCGCTGGAATTAGGCACGAGAAAGAGTGCGGGAAGCATCCGCCTGGTATTCTCTGTCACAGCTGGGAGTGGCGGAGGCGCGGCAGCTGCGGCCGTGGGACGCGACGTCGTGGAGGATTATGTATGTACCCATCATTGGCATGGCCGGAACAGTGCTAATTTGAGAAGGTCCAGATCAGGTCTGGAGCACTTGCTTTGCAGCGACGGGGACGAACAACAAGTGCGAGTGTTTCAGAGCTGACGACTGTTCTGATTGCGCGAGGCGCCTGGCTTGCCTTCATCCGCGGACCAACGCCAACCTTCAAATCAGGGGTCCGAAGCGCTGATGCAGTTTGCACCATGCGTGTTGGACACGCTCAATTGGCGACGCTCCAGTAAGCAATTATCCCATATCAGTGCCTGGCGATGAGCCCCATCAAGTGTCGTTGTGCGCAGGGGGGGACAATCATGGAGTCTCGTGCAGCATGAATTCAGCAACTCTTGCTGTGAGACTTCGGGATCAGGACCGCGAAGACGTGGGGGTAGTTCCAACCCTCGAAACTAACTAATTGCCGCGAGTATTGACAACTCGAAGAGCGCTTCAGCACCGTAGTTGTGCGTTCGTCCGCTCAATCCGGACTTCTTGCACGATATACGAGAAGGCATTGAGCCCTTGCTGGTGTATCCAAGTCCGCCATCACGTATCGAGTTTGAGAGTCAGGCAGCTCGCTTGAAGTTACCACCGAGTGGGCCTTGCGTTTGAGTCAAAGTCAGCTGTTGGATTGGGTTTACAATGCGAGACAGAGCGAGATGAAGACCGAATTCATTAATAGACCGATGGCTTCATTGATTGAGGGCGCACAAAGTAGACTCGCAGGCACGTAAGTAGGTTGAATGAAGTATGTGTGCTATCTATGAGCATGCAACTTACCAGGTACTCTGATGACTACGGAGCACTGCCCGGTAAGCGCGTGCTTGCTTCGTCGGAGATCGTAAGGACCGAGGAGGCCAGATATTCTTACCGATCCTTGCGATCTTCCAGTCGTTTGGCAGCGACGGCGGAAACAAAGATTGTGTGTTCAGAGCCCTCGAGCCAGGTACTGCAGGCCATTGCCTCCAGCAGCGGTCACTGTGAAGAAGCACGCTCCGTCCGTGAACATAGATAATGAAATATACGTGTCTCGTGAGGGAATGGCCCGAAACCGAGATTGGTTTACCTCGTAGAAATGAAGAGATAACCGAACGAAAGTGCGGGGAAATCACACCTCCCCTGATGGCATCTGATGCATCTCCACGTGACTTTGCATGCTCTCACGCTGACGTAATGACGAGGTTTTCTCTCCGGAGATTTTGGTTCCCCATCCATATGTGATCATGGGAACCGTGCGTATTCCTAGCTCGTGCTCGCAGCCCTTCTCTTCTATTCTGCTCGTCCAACAATCCCCCGACCGCAGCCTCGGGTCTTTTAAAAGGCAGCGAAATGGAGCGCTTTTCGGCACGGTCCGCCATCTTTGTTCGTTGGGCTCAGACAACAGCCGCGGTAGCACGATCAGGGCATCTCAGATCCAAGGGACGGGAAGCAAGTGATGGCTCGAACAGGACGACGAGCGAATGCGCGCTCGAACCGGGGCGAGTGTGCTGGAGAACCACGAAAAAGGCTCCGATGTCTGCACTTGTCAGCTCGTCGGCGCCCGTAGCGATACCTCAGCGGCCTGCCTGCCTGTATGAATGGAAGGGGGCATCACTGGGCCAAAACGCCTCATCCCGTCGCAGAGCCCGATGCGTTCGTAGTGCCCAGGATCAGATCGCGCGGACATCAGAGGCCCGACTCGAGCTTGAGAGTGGGATAACTGTCTTGGGGCAGCTCAGCCAGTCCAGGCCGAGACAGCGACGCTCGGACGATCCGCAAGTCATCAGCATTCCGGCCTCGGGCCCGGCTGATCCGCGCTGGAGGACTGGGAAGAGAAGAACGAACAGGCTACTGCATGCATCCGTTGCGCTGTTTGCAGATCGCGCTTGAGCGGATGGGCGTCTATGGGCGCCGGATAGCCCCTGACCTGAAACCACCGCCGTCGGCCGAATGTCTAAAATGCGGAACATCACATGGCGAAGAGGCGTCCATCCATCCATCCATCCAACCAACCATGCTGGGATTCTGTATCCAACCAGATCCGAGGAGAGGACGAGTCAGAGTCATTGATGTTCGTTCCGCACTGATAACATTACTCCGGGGGGGAAGATAGGCTGGTCTGTCTGACTGTGCTGTCGCTGTCGCACCCCCGTTCAGCCATCAATCAGAGAACGCACCCACAGTGTGCCTAGCGCCAGATTTTCGTGCAGAAGACGCGGACCGGGGTGTGTCTAAGCGGGGGGGAGGGCTCAAAAAGGACACGTCACATGCGACATGTGCCGCGGGCTGGGGTGACGTCCGCAGTCGAGCAACCAGCAGCAGCTGCAGCATCGATCGGTTCGATAAGGGTCGCGTGCCCGGTCGTTATCAGTCGGCCGTCGAGCTAGAAGTGCTGCGGAGCTCCGCAAGTCGAACTGTACCTATACAGATGCAGGTCAAACGATTGGCGTTCGCTGCGATGCATCTCGTTCTTGTGGCACTTGCCAGGTATGGAAGGTTCAATGAGCAGAAAACCACCAAATTTCCTTGGCTGCTGATGGGCGGGTGCTTACAGAGTCATTCCAACATGTATCGAACAGCGACTCACAGTGTAAGCGATGAAATTTACCTCTCGCTCTCAGATTCAAAACTGCAGCTCAAGATTTCTCAATACATACGACAATTGCCAGATATAATCAGATAAGCGCAGTCAGCGGATCACCATGCGAATCGGAAGGAGCAGAAATCAAGGGCCTGAAAACTGGCACTGGAAGGCCAACCGTCGCGCGATGGTTGTTGTTGGCTCAGCGCGAGGTCTCACGCACGTCACCGGTCGCATGGCCGAGCAATAACCGAGCGCGATGGGTACACCGCGCTCCGGGATATCGTTGAACGTCGCACTTGCAAAGGCTGCTTAGCAAGTGCCCGGAGGAAGCGCGCTGACGCATGTCCCTCCCCCCGCCCAGGCGACAGGCCGGGGGCCTGGAATCATTCCGCTCTTATGTTCTCGCGTCCGCCGTGATCAAGCGAAGACTGGACTGGCGGGGAAATATGGCCGAGATGCAGGACAAGAGACTCAAGAAGTTCTGTCTGTCGAGGCCGCCGTATATATCAGGCACGAGATTTCTAAGCGATTGACAAACGATACACCGGACAGAGGTGTGCCTACTCATCCGCGGCCCTGCTGACTTTCAATTCAAAGCACATGCATATACGGGGTGGGCGGCTCAAGGAAGACCTCTGTGTGATGCATCCATCCACCGGCCGATTCCGTATCAGACGACATGCATCCATGTCGACGACATCCACATCTCGTAAGGGTATGGATGCACACGCAAATGCAAACGCAAACGCAGCCCACTCTGATTTAAGATTCTGGGCCCCGTGGATCTGGGTGACGCGGCGGCTGACAGCGACACCGCGGGTCTGATGGATGCGGGTGCAATGCACATGTGCGGGAGGCAACGGTGTGATCGTCCTGGCGTTTCCAGGACGTTCCCACTCCAGCTTTTCCACGCTCAGTCTAAAAGTAATCAGTGACAGATTCGTACGGCCCTCCTTTGGCATTATTTACGGTCACTCATTAACTGTCACACACGCTGGGTCTATTCAAGACGTCGCGCAGGGAGAGGCCCACGGACACATAGGGTGAACATCCTCCGCCAGTCTACCTACTTTTACGTTAAATTTTTCGACATTTTGAGCAACTTTTACTCTATTTTTGGAGGGTTAATTCGAATTTTCTCCCTAAGCTTCTAGGGACTGTATTTAAGCTGTAGGAGCTTTCACCTGACCTATACCACCTCTAGGACGCACAGTATCTGTTCCCGCTACGCGTTTACGAGCCGATGGGACGTCCTTGTAGACTTTTCCGACGCCAATCCATTCCGAGAGATCCAACTCTAGGTCTGTACTCTCGTCACTGTCCGTGACTTCGAGGACAGCTGCCGACACTTCTGTCATGCCCATGTACTTCGGGAACCGGCAGGATGGCGCAGCGCTTGGGAGCCGGGAACGATGGGCAAGAAAAAACGATCAGGCAAGCGATCATTCTGATCATATCGGTTGTTAGATTCTCCGTAGACTTCCAAATTCAGTACATTTCCAGCTAAAATTAGTCTTGCTGACGACTGAAAAGACTACATGAGCCCAGATGTCTAAATTCAAGTCAGAAATGCCCAGATCAGGCCGGGTTCTACCCGATTTTACGCTGGTGCAGGGCTCAAATCTTTCAAGATCGGCAGGGATCTAGCCAAGTTTTACGCTATCTCCGGAGGCTTGCTGCCATTTTTGAGGCACTTTTACGCTATTTCCCGGAGGGTTCAAGTCAAAAATTTCGGCCAGATTTACTTTATTTCGGAGGATGTTCACCCTATGTGTCCGTGGGCCTGCAGGGAGTGAAAGTCGTCAGTGATAGCCATCGTGGTCGATCATTGCGACCGCCGTAGTCCCTAAGTCGCGTTTTGTCGTTTGGGCGAGTAGTTGCTGATTGTACTGGGCTCGAGGAGCAGAATCATGCGAGTCGTTGATCCAACTGTGAAATATATATAAAGATCTGGAGCCGAAGCGTGAGTCCCTACAGTTTAGAGGTAATTCTCCTAAATTGTCAGTGCACTTGATACTGAAAATGATTCATCCCTGGGTCACTGAATCATTGGTGCCGACGCGAAAGTACACCACGAGCATTATTCTCGTGTCTTCCATACCACTTCCCCTGTCACACACTGCCGATTTAACCGTGAGGACAGCGCTCTTCCTCGTGCGACGGGCTCTCTCGAGCACGCGCGATCGCAATTCCGTCCCAATCACATCAGCGCCTGATTCTGCCTCCCCCGCTTCCAGAACGCCGCACGGTGGGGACGTATCGCACGCCCGCTTCGCCTTCCCAGAAGCCTCGTTCTTCGCCCTGGACGCAGCGGCGGATGTCGTCATGTCTCTGATCCTGGCAAGTTTGAGCGCGTGGGCGTGTGATGCACAAGCGAAAGAGACGGGCACGCCGCACAGTCCCGCGCGTGTCACATAGTCACGTCACTGATTGTCCGGCGGCCGCATCCCTAGCTGTGATCTGATGTCTCGACGACGATGCGTTTGTGGACTTGGACTGGGGCGCCCGTGGGGTGCCGTGTGTGCTCTGTCACCCGTCAGCCAACGGGATTGAATCCCCGGAAACGATCCCACGCCCTCGCCTGCGCTGGCGGCGGTCGACCGTTCTTGCGCTATACTTCATTATCACGGAGGTGTGTGTGTGACGCTTCTCGGATGGAGCAGAGTCTGACACTTGAGCAGCAGGGATGTCAGTGTCCAGCCGGCCCGAGGTGCGATTCCGGCTCCTCGAATCTCCTTGGGGCTCAGGTCGTTCTTCTGAGACGACTACTTTGCGTTCTGCATGTGCTCCCTCCATCTATGGTGAATAAATATCTGCCATGTGCGTGGTGTACCCGGCGTCTGGTGACTCGAGGTCCGTCGGAGTTTAGGACTGGACGCGCACTGCTTTCAGGGCCTGCCCGAGGACGTACATTGAGGGTGACTTCGCATTCAGGTCTATAGCGACGTGGGATCCATGTGTGTCAGCAGGTCATCGTAATGCAGCACATAGTGACGAGCACTCGAAGACTCGATTGACTGCACAGTACATATATTACTGACTGTACGCGAGTGCTATAACTAGTGGCATATCCAAATGACTTGGTATATCGTTCGGATACCACGATCCTTGTAATAAGAATGTACGCCATCATCCAGGCCTAAATGTACCCCCAAGAGCAGCAGAGCGAATGGAAATCGAGAGCAGGAGCAGAGCAGCAACCAGAAAGAAACAGAGCAGACAACAACAGGCACCCCACTTCCACCTCGCGACGTTTCAAGACTCCAGTGCCGCCAGTGGCAGCGCTCGATTCAGCCGCGGATCCTTCGTGCGATGGTGCTTGACCGTCGGGGGCACCACATTGACTGCTTTGATTGTGGACGCATGCATGATCTCGAAAGCGGAAGTATCCATCGACGAGCCGATAGTCGCAGCGAGCGAGGCAGCAAAGTCATCGCCATCAGTCCCGACGTCAAACGGATGTGCCGCCACATCCCCCATCGCGAGGCCAAATTCGTATCCTAGCCCCAGTCCCCCCACGTCATGGAATCCTTCCGCTGCTGCTGCTGCGCCGTCCTCAGCGACACAGTCAGTGCCGTCCAGCACACCCGGTGCCGCCACGGTATCATCGCTGTCCGCGCCGATCGGCACGGAGATGCAGACGTCTATGTCCGTCACGGAGACGGCTGAAGACGTGGATGCCGACGACTCTTTGCTGTCCGGCGGCGAGTCCTTGCTTCCCTCTTGCTCGCCAGAAGCTTCGGCCTCCGTGTCGGTCTTCTTCTTCCGCATGCCCCGGCGGCTTTCCGAAGGGTATGTGCATTCCAGCGCTCGTCGCTGGCACTGGCTGTGAGGAAGAAGCGGGGAGAGGAGGGAGAGTCAGCAGGCATGTCCAAACACAGCAAGGGACGAGAAAGTCAGAAAAGCTCGGTGCGGATGCTAAACTCCGCGAAGCCTCGGTAGAAAGCCAAAACACGCGAAGACGAGCAACGAAAGGTAGCAAGCGGAAAGGCTAGTCTATCAGACGACCCCGAAACATCCTGCGTACGTATCGACGCAACTAGCATGAAGCTAGGGCGCGCGACCCGAGATCGGTGGAAGGCCCGATGAAATGAACGTGGACAAAGAAAGTACGCCAGCAAGCGAGTGCAAGCGTGAAGTGAAAGAGAAAGAACCAACTCACTTGCACGCAAACTTGTCCGGCTTGCCAGGAACAGGCATCGAAGGCCCACACGCAATCTTTCGTCCTCGGCAGAACAAACAGGCCAAGGGGGGTTTCTTCTGGAGTTCCTTGACCGAGGTGATCTCCACGCCAGTGGCTGCGGCCGCGGCCGCTGCCGAGGCTACTGCCATCGTCGAGTCCTTGCGCCGCGGAGAAGATGGAGAGCGCCGTTGCTTGCTCGACCCGGGCATGGGCTCCTCGCCGGGAGCACCGTCGCCCTCCTCCTCGGCGAGCGCGAGCATGACTGAGCGCGGTGGGCTGGCCGGGTAGTGCCCATTGCGACGTTTCTCCGGTGGTGGTCGGCGAGGTTGACGCTCACGGGCCTTGCGTTTCGCCGAGGACGAGAGGTCGGGCGGAGACGACGGCGACGATGAAGAAGCGACAGATAACGGATCCGTGCGGGAGCGAACGGACGTCGAGGGGAGAAGAGACGACGGATGGAGCGAGCGGGGCTGGTGCCTCGGCATGCCCAAAGCAGAGGCAATGAGTGACGACGAAGGGTGCGAGAAGACCATCGGAGGCGGCACGTCGATTCCGGGGTACATGTCCACCTCAGCTATCGGAGCTGAGGCAAGTATTTGAGGCGCTTTGTAAGCTGCCAGACGTGTCAGTGCGCAAGCACAGATGCGGAGATAAAGAGCAGCACGCACGATAGTTTAAGCTGCCCCCACGCTCTGCGACGAACGCACCCAACGGTTTACCTCCAAACACCGTCGGGTCGGAATAGATTATCTCGAACGGACTGGTGGCGAAAAGCGGGGGCGGACTCGTGCCTTCCGCGCTACTGGGCGAAGGATACACGCCATTAGGGCTAGCGAGATGATTCGTAGGCGAGCCGAACGCGGGGCCGGGGCTCGCAAACGAGGAAGTAGTCGATACCGGATAGTCCGCATTGGGACTAGGATACACTGCGTTGCCCAAGGCCAAGCGAGGCAGCAGTTGATGTGAAGCGGGCGGTGCCTGGGTCGGCGAAAGGATGGATAATGTGGGCGCGGCTCGAGGCGACGTCGATTCGGAGGGCTGGGCTCCCCAAAACATCGGATTCTCGGGATTCGCCGGTGAGAGGAACCCGTGAGCGAACCGTGGGTCCTGACGGGCGTACTGAGTAGGTACATCGCCAGCTGAGTAGGGTGACGATGGCGAGGTGGCGATAGGCGCTGGGCACGTGGAGGAGACAGCCAGACTGCTCGTGGTCATCCTGTGTGGGGCAAACATCCGCGCGTGTTCGGCCTCGACTCGAGCGGATTGCAGAGTGGGTCGGGCTGCAGGGAATGTCTTGTAAAACAGTTCATCGCTGGCCGCGTGCAGCTCGTCCATCCTCGACCTGTTCATTGCCATCGGATTTCCAGCGGCGAGGGACGCTAGGGGAATAAATGAAGCGTACTGGAGAGGTGCAGTGGCTCGGGATCGTGCCGGGCAGCGTACAGCAATGACCGAAATTAGCAGAAAGGTAGCGATTACAGCATGTGCCCACTATATAGCAATTTGCTTCCGGCCCGATCTGATCTTTTCTGGCCACGTCACACGTAACATCTCTCGTCACGAACCACCCGATTTTCACCCCGATCCCTCCAGCCTGATGCGGACGCTGACATAAAATCTCACATGCGTCCTAAACAGGCATAGTCCCTGATTTGGGATGCGATTGATGCTGGACGCTGGGTAATCACGCATGCCTGCCAAAGAGTTTGCGGGAGGTATGGAATCCCGATGCTTTTGATTTCGTCTTCTTCCCTCTGTCTGACGTCCCTGCGACGTGTCCATGCAAACTCTGACGCCCCTACAATTGTGGGTCCCGGCGACAAGTGGCCCGAGGCCCTCCGTTCAGATTCTGCTCGTTTTAAAGACTAAAAGTTGAGGATAATCACATGTTGGTTACTGTGGCCCATTACATATTATTGCTTGCATTTCGGCGCGCTCCATCACTTCTATGATTCGAAATGGCGCGAGGTAGTGACTGCAGCATCGTGCGACAGTGGACGAAGCAAATCTGAGTTTGCTGCATCTCGAGTTCGATAGGGTGCGCGGCAATGAGCAAGTTGCGAACGTAGGCTCGGGACTCTGCTAGCCACAGCCAATCAAATCAGTCCTTATAGACAGTAATTGGGATGACTCAGATAAGCGAAGAGTGCTCAACTCATGCCAAGCATCACCCCTAAAAACTACCCAACCGTCGCTTAGTTCAGTCCGAACGACACAACTCAAAGCTCGGAGCGAGCGTGGAAGTGGCCTCTGCGACGTCGTGCAAGGTGGAATTAGTAAATGCTCTCCTTATATAATGCACTCTAGCAGTCGCAGATCCATGCATTTGATCTGCGATTCGATGAGAGTCGTTCTCAGCACACTGTCCAAGCGTCGCTTGGCGGCTTTCTTTACGTTCCCTGCGCCCGCAAGAAACGCTTCAAAATCCCAATGTCAATGTCATTTGCTCATGAAGACACCGATATCTCTCCTCCAAATAGTTGGACTGTAGCGCGACGCGCACTGACTCACATCGGATTCGAGCAAGCACGGGCAAGCCGAGCATCAACAAGTTCCGTCGCCTAGATATCGGAAATGGGTGCATCACCAAAGGCTAATACGTAGTGTTTTGTAAGGTACGTGCAATCACAACGGAATGCTTTAGTTATGCCGGTACGTCACCGCAGAGTCTTATCAGCACACATTGTTGAAAGCTGAGAGTCTATTTCTCGCTTCGATTCCTGCGGCAGCCGCAGAAATCGGGGACAATCCTCGCAGTCTGCGGTCCACCCTCCGCGCATCTGCAAATCTACGCCTCTCCGGCCGCCGTGTGTGAGAAAATCAACACAATGACCAACGAAAGAACGCGCTCGCACCGGCTTCTTTTCTGCGACGATAACAGAATGTCCACCGTGGCAGGCCGTCCGTGGGTAAGTAGCCGAAACGGTCTGAAAGACACCGGGCAGATCCCAGTTGCCCGCGCGCGCCGAGGCGTGGATCAGTGGCACGACTGACTGGAATCGCGATTGCTCGTGGACACGCTGGCGGAGGGACAAACAAGCGGATGCTATAGAGCACGTACTGCAGCCAATAGGCGGTCCAGCCCTGACACTGGGCGTGCTGGGGACAAGCCAAGAATGCACCCGAGATGATACCAGTGATAGTGTGCCGCGGCTGTCGGTCGAAGCTGCAGCAAAAGGGTGAGGAGGTTATCGACTTGTTCAGGGTTTCAAAGCCGCGAGCTTTGAGCGGCCCCAAGCGAATTGCAGTGCGAAATGAAGGACAGGACAACCCCACATCAGCCATTCTGCCAGCACGGACCATGGTAGCCGATATTCTGGCTATAGAGTTTGGGGCAGCTGACGTCGGCAGAGTTAGTGCCAGCCTGGAAAGAGGTCCACGTGAGAGGAGACTGCGTCGTACAGAGCTCAACGACGGGGTCACGCGGAGCCCAGCGCGTGACAAACATTGAGGTCCGGAGAGGGACATGAGAGTGGGATGTGAGGGGCCAATAGCCGAAGAAGGGTCGACCAAGCAGTCTATCGCAGAGAGATCCCGGAACACCAGGAAAGCCGCTCGGAGTGAGGTGTCACCACGCACGTCGCACCATGTCGTCGATGACCCGAGGCGTCCCAGTAGATAGGCTCTCGACCGCTTGAGCAAGGGATAGAACCGCTGCCTGTGGCGTTGATGGGTGACTCGTGTAGACGGGGAGCATGTAGTTGGGCTGATGGACAGCTGCGGACTCGCTGGACTCAGCGGACTGCCGGCCCATCCCGATGATCCCGGGAATACCCGGAGATCATCCCGAGACAACCGATTCTTCCCGCGACGCGCCCGGTTCAGCAAGTTGCCCAGTACCTGTAGCGAGACAAAAATCTGGTGCAGATCACTCGGCAATTCCATGTTCATAGGCCCATGTTCATCCCCAGAAGCCCATGATTTCGGTACATGTCTGGACATCCGCGTATCGGACGACGGGCGGGTCCGATCCAACATTCTCGGGGAAACAACCGCATCGACCGAATCGAATCCATCTCGGAGCTTTTTACTGCTTCTCAGCGCGTTGTTGCAGTTGCCTAACGTCGAACGGACGCTCAATGAACAAGTTCCCACTCCACCTGCCGCCATATGTCATAGCCCGGGTGTGTTACCGACATGTCGGTTTGTGTGCGTATTTCTGTGAACGAACACTGCCCATCATACAGATTGGCGTCATGGAGTGCCTGTGGCGGGCAGATCTTGGGCCCAGCTGTGACCGAGCTCATCTGATTCGGCCATCTCACGTGATCGTTGTTCAGCGGTGCGAAACTGGGATCCTGTTTATGGTTTCTCAACAGTGTGTGATCGACCGACTGCGTTTGAACGGTTTAGACTCTCTCCAGAACTTTCCAGGATGATGTCACCAGGCATGCGACTCGCAGGTAGCGCTGACCCGCTCCACATCTTTCCGGGGAAAGCAGAGAATCCTGCAGGGATTCCAATCATGCGCATTATGTCGGCAGGGGCAGACTTCAAGAAAAGATCACTCGGAAACCGAAGCAGACTGTGATGATCACATGGCAACCTCCATGGGGATTGATGACTCTGAGCCGCGGGCATCGAACGGGAGAGCAGCCAGCCATGGGTCGCATATTGCTGCACACATAAACATGTGCTTGTGCAGGAGATTCATGAACGTCTCCCTCCGGGATGAGCCCGAGCAACCGTGCGCTTTGGTCATATCATCCGATTCCAAGGCCCCTGAGGCCCCCGCGCAAACGGAGGTATGCCGCATGTAGCTGCCAAAAAGCGACTGGGAAAACCGTGTTCGCGGAGCTTGAATTGTGCATGTCTGAATAGATAGATGTGATCTGCCAAGCCTGATCGCCAATCGGGCATGTGTGTTCAGGTCTGCGTTGATCAAAGGCGGGTTTAAGAGCAAGAATATGGGGAATTGAGATCGATGACACTTGAATGGACTAGGAGCATCGATGTATCGATATGTTAATCTTTGGAGTGGATGGTTATTGACTCGGACACGTGTGATCCGGACCTCGGATAGAAAAGATATCGGCTACATCCTGTTTTCGAGCCCAATCAGCGCTAGTCTCTTCCAATCCAATTGCTGGCCTTCACTCCAAAATGCCGTCCCTGAGAAGTGCGCGATCGCCTCCGGTTCTAACCTGCTGTGCCGAGGAATGGAAGGTGTGAAGAGCACTGCGCAGCCAGAGCTATGAAGTGGGTTGGGTACTTGTTCGGCGGAGATCAAATCTGGAAATTGGTCCCACGGAAGTATTTCATCGATCAGGATCGTCAGACGCTAGCAGATGCTAGCCGTACTGTGCTTTCTGGTCAGCTGCGCTGCCACTTATCTAGTTGCTTTCACCATGCGTTCAGTCCAATATGGAACGAGCGGGCGGCCAAAACACATCCAGGGCGGCGCTGGATAGTCTGCCGCGGCAAGTCCAGGCCGAGTCAGGGGCAGTATTGTCTTCCCGTTTCTATTCTCGAAAGCGAGATTCCGCAACAGCAACGGATCACCCAGACGATCTAAACCTCACAGTCGTTCAGCGCTAGTAATAGTGCATGCTTATCCGCTATGGTCTCTTCCATATCGCTCTCGCCAGAGAACAGGTTGGCCATGGTAAGGATCTCAGCTGTTGGCTCTCCTAGCGCCGCATATATTTGTTCCCACAGCGCGACATGAGGGAGCGGGTCCTGTCGAATGAGTGCTTATGTTGTCAGGCTCGGATAGATACGCCTCTGCTGGCATTCGAAGGCGGCAGACGGCGTTCCAGTGACGAGAACTGCTCAACTCAACAGTCAGCGTGTGATCTGAGATCTGCGCAGGCGACAGAGAAGGGAGACGAGTATCGCTGGATGAGCATAGATGAGGCAAGTAGTGAGTCGGAGTGCGGCGCCGGTTTCGATGGGCGACCCCTGCGGCTGCACGGTTGATCAGAATTCTAACCCACCCTCTGCTTTCCTCGGTACCTTGTTCCCGAATAAGGATCCACACCGCAAAGAAGCCTGAGTTCCACGGTCCCATATCCGCTCCCCCATCGACGTGTGCGCGCGCCCGCGATATGCGCCAATCAGCGTCGGTACAAGATTCAGAATTGACGACATAGCCGCTGTGCGTACGGAGCAACTCGACAGGGAGAAAATGAAAGAACGAGCCCGGCAAAGGGTGGTATGCATCCGTGGGCGCGCACACAAGTCATCCAGTTGAATCGAGATACCTTGCGCCTCCCGAGAACGCAGTGATTCCGAGTTCGAGAGAAAATTTAGAGGCCCTGGGAGAGACAGAAGAAGCGATACATTCCGGGGTTCTTCCTCCACTCTCACGGCGCGCGCCATCGTTGGAAACCTGAGAACGTGTGCGGTGATACTGAACTATTTGCACAGAGTAGTCAGCGGTCACTAGTCACTCTTTTGCTCGTCATAGTCTAGCTGTCATCAACTCATGTTGACGTCATTCGAGTGCGTCATTTTTGGTACTGGCTAGGAGTGTGAGCCTACCACTAAACTCATCACTCGTCACGAAAACCAACACGTCTAGCAAGCTTAGCCAGTGGTGAAACCACGACCCAACTGAAGCAATCGGTAAGAATCTCGTGACAGCTGATAACTATGTTGATCCCTTGCTCAGTCCAACAGTCAACTGCCCAAATATCTTGGCATCGGTTCCATAATCCTTTCCTTTTCTGGATGTTTCTCGTCATTTATGCCCCACACAGAGTGTGCTCGAAGAAGTCGGGAAAACTAAACAAACGTGATGAGGGAGGTGTCGCTGTCGGCTGCGCTGCACTGGAATACTTAGTTTCACTCCCTATATCAAAGCGCTCTAACAATCACTGCAGAATTGCAAACAACCTCTGCTAGGCTACTCTTCCAGAGTACATGAACCGATCTTGGATAGCCTGCCACATAGTCCGTCCGAGCACACCGTCATTTAAACACCCAGCCTGAAGGGTCAACGCGAATCCAGATTTCCAACGCGGGGCTTCAGCGGCCAGTGTATCTTGCACTGACCATACGAGCTTTGGTTCAATCTGGGGCACAGCTTTTAAGAAACACAAGTAGAATACGGATAACAAGTGGGCTTCGAAGGGCGCCTGAGTTCGATTCAGGCAAAACCAAATGAGAAATCCTTGGCGAAATGTTCAAGCACGGACGATGTGGATCGTGTGATATTATTTTGTGTGAACATAGATTAATCGTCTTTTACAGAGTATCCCAGCTTTGCATTGACGGAGCACATTCGTCTGGGCCTAGGCCTCGGTTGATGGCGCATCAGGCGTATCATTACTAACCAGGGCAAATTTTGTTTTGCCAAGCAGAACTGGATAGAAATGGCGCGGAAGACTGGGTACGTATCAGGAAGATAGCGGGTCACACACCCATGACCACGAGCCCTGTCTATCGAGAAGGTCCTGGGCTTGTCTAGGCTCGATCTAAATCCAGGCGCTCGGGTTTAATCAGGCCGGAGACAGCAAAGCGGTTCGCAGAGGAACCCTGTTCTCAAAAAGAACACACCTTCATGTGGGTGGCATCTTAGATGCAGGGGTTTCTCATGAGAACATGTATTCTGAGTTGAGATCGGAGCTCGACCGATGGCCGATCAGCGTTGAAAGTCCGAACCCGATTTTGATCAGCCATCAGATCACGAACGCAAAGCTGTGCTTGCCCCTCCGTGTATTACCACTGCCCATAGCGTCAGGACTCTGAGCGAGGCAGCATCGTTTTACGATCCAACCTCCTTCTCACGCCGATCACCGACACGTAACTCACATTTGCGGTGGCATGACCAACACTAGATGACGAGCGCGGGTAAATGACCTGCAAGGCTTGACAAAGCTGGGGCATCACTGAAATCTTCGAGGGTCGAGCCATAAGTACGGAGCGACATCCAATTGGCTGTCCATAATGTCTCTTCTCGATCGCCCCCCTCCGCCACGCACCAAATTGGGTGTATATCGGATTCTTTCGCCCAACGCGGGAGTCCATGTCTCTCCTCTGCAGCTGGGGGCTGGCAGCATCGGCGACCAGTGGCACAAACTCGGAATGGGTGCGATGGATAAAGCGTCAAGCTTCAAACTCCTAGACGCGTATTTTGATGCCGGTGGTAACTTCATTGACACTGCGAACGCATAGTCAGTCTGACGTCGCGCCCGAATCGAGATTGGCTGAACACCCTTCGCAGTCAAGACGAGACGTCAGAGATGTTCATTGGGGAGTGGATGGAGCAGCGGGGTATCCGGGACCAGATCATTCTCTCCACGAAGGTGCGGCGGCCGTCCCAGAAGCCCTTATCGCTTAATTAAACTGCCAACTAGTTTTCGACGAATTACAAAGCCCGCCGAAACGTCGCGCTCGAGGTCAACTATGCTGGGAGCAACCGAAAGTCGATGACGCTGAGCGTGGAGGCCAGCCTCAAGAAGCTCCGCACGTCGTACATCGACATCCTCTATGTACACTTTTGGGATTGGGACACAAGCTTCCGCGAATTGATGGATGGGCTGCACAATCTCGTCGCACTGGGAAAGGTCTTATATCTCGGCATCTCGAATGCCCCGGCCTGGGTCGTATCGCAGGCCAACCAGTATGCGTTGGACCACGGCAGGTCGCCATTCGTCATCTACCAGGGCGCATGGAACGTCATGGACCGGTCGTTCGAGCGCGAGATCATCCCCATGGCCCGTGCAAATGGTGCGTGCGCTCGTTTTGAAAGTACTCGCTGCTTTATCTGAGTGCAGGCCAGGCATGGCACTCGCGCCCTGGAACGTTTTAGCACAGGGCAAGTTCCGCACGGACGCTGAGGAGGAAGCTCGGCGCGTTTCCGGAGAGAAGGGGCGCATGCTGTTCAGCGCCGACTGGGAACGAAACGAGGACGAGAAGAAGATCTCACACGCACTTGAGAAAGTCGCGGGGGAGATTGGGGCCAAGAACATCACCTCCGGTGCGTCTTTTTTTATTTATCCATTCATTTGATCTCAATGAAAGCACACGAACAGTCGCAATCGCTTACCTGATGCACAAAGTGCCGTACTGTTTCCCTATCATCGGAGGGAGGAAAGTCGAACATCTGATGTCCAACATCGAGGCTCTCGAATTATCGCTCTCGCCGGAACAGATAAAGTTCCTGGAGGATGTTCTGACCTTTGATCCTGGCTTCCCTGCAACCAAGATTGTAGGCTGCTCAATTTTTTACTTGGGGTGATGCTGACGCAATGCACAGGGCGATGGCACTGCACCCACCCCCGATTTGCTTACAGCTGGATATTTCGACCACGTGCCCCTTCAACGGACAATTCCTCACACGAAGAACTGAGCAGGCTGGGGCGCAGACCAGTGGAATAGAATACTTCAATTCACCGCCAGATTAGACAACGATTCATAACACTTGCCGCGAAGCGAACCTCTCCTCGGAGGTGCTCCCGCCAAACTAGACCGAATATCCAGGATGTTCAGGCTCCAGCAATTTTCCTTTCAATTCATGAGAATGTTCCAAACTTGCGGAGGGGAAAAACACTAAATCAAGAAAACATCGTTGACATTTTCTTATTCAGACTGACTGCTTACGGTGGCACATGAACCCGGTCCATATGCATCTGATGAGTTAGATTGAATATCAGCAACGGATAAGTTCACTTCCCTCTGCCTCATCATGGATGCCTTTGGGACCCCGTCCTGTATTATCTCCAAAATAGCAATGCCATCAGGTCAGCAATAGTGCCATTTTCATGATAAATTTTCCAATATCATGCCCAACTACACGTCACTAAGCCGTACATAAGGCGCGATACAGTCCAGTATGATGAAACAGCCTATGAGATGGGATATTTACTATATCACTTCTCAAATAAATGCGAAATGTCCTTTGTAAATTGTTCGAAAGAATGGTCCAGGCTGAATGAATGCTCCAGAATCAGTAGTACTCCTGTTCATTTCTAGCATTGATGAGGTGGCATTTTCCGAATGTGCAGGCATGAAGGTCTGAATTTATTTTTAATCACCCATACTGAATACAAGCTTTACTCTCACCGACACTTTTCGAAGGCTCTCCAGCGCCTTCGAAATGATTCTGGGAAACATATGCGCACTTGCTGAGTATCTCCAGCTCCCGCCCGAGCGAACAGAGGCGATGTGCGACCAAAAATAATATTGTTGCGCAAGGTTCGAACTCTGGTCCTCAAAACATCGGCCGATCTCTTAGGGTCTGTTCGGCAACCAGATGTAGGATCAGGATGTAGATATTGATACATCCGATTACTACATCTGGTAGCCACGTAAGCCAAGCGGGATTGTGACGTGTCCGTGACCCGACACGACATCATCGCGACGCTGCTCCGCCCCCTCGACTGCGCTGCTCACTCTCATGGCTAAGACCAAGGGCAAAAGAAAAGATGCAACTCAGCAGCTCTCAGACGACGAGGATACCCCTGGGCCGGAGCCTGATAGTGATCGCGCGAAGTGGCTTGACGCAGACATTGCTGTGCTACTGGACGCTCTCATTGCGAACAAGGCAGCTGGGGGCAATGGCGGCAACTTCAAGATGAGAACTTTCAATCTCATTGCACCAGATGTGGATGCGGTTCGGAAGGAAGGGGCAAAGAAGACAGGGAACAACTGTCAGACGAAGTACAAGAATGTGCGTGCCATTCAGACGCCCGAATCACAACTTTGACAGTACCGCCGTAGCTTCGTGAGACTATGGAAACCCGGAGAGGTCTGCTCATGTCAAGTGGTTATGCGACGGTGATCATTGATAAGCAATGTCAAGACCCCGGAGCCATCACACTAAGCGACATTACGAGCACACAGACTGATAGATTCAACAAATACCACCACTGAACAAAAAAAAAAGCCAAATGGAATCGCGCACGTAGGCGCCCAGTGCTCGCTCCAATTCCAAATCACATGATGTCGAATTCTGTAAGATACCCACAATCCACCCTCGACAAACATCACGTGGCGTTATGGTCACACGTCCGCTTTCATCTCACGCAAATGATGCACTGTAGATGCTCGAGGGAATGCGAGCCGAGGAACTTGTCAAAATGTAGACATGCCTATACGGCCCTATAGAATATTCAACACATGTCATTGGTGACTGTTTGAGACCCACTCGAGCACCAGAGTGCATATCTCATGCCCAGTGTTGCCGCGGTCCAGTTCGGTCCGGCTTTCATCAAATTTTCTGAATCTTGAACCAAACCTGGGGTCCAGTTCAGGTTCGGCCAAAGTGGGTGAACCGGACCTGCGGTTCGGTTCCTTCCGGTCAAGTTCAGGTTTGAACCCGGTTTGAACCTTGAACCTCAGAGCAAAAGAAGAAGAAAAAAAACACAAAACAACTATATCCATTCGGGAGAAGAGGTATGCGGCACAGAGTGGTCCGAGAGCTCGGTCCCAGCAGAACGACCACGTCAGGGCTTTGCGGTGAGTTTCAGAGATGGTGGAACAGCAGGAAGCGAGTCTGCATGGTCGGGATCTTTGTACCACTCGAACTCGTCGGCTGGGAGAAGCTAGTCATCGGGGCCCAATGCGCACAGCTCATCGGACATGGTAAACAAGGTGTAGAGGAACAACCCAGATGAATGACTGACCTGAATAGAAAAGCTGATCCCGACCTATTCACTCTATGTTGCCATCTATATCGACACATCGCAGCATGCTGATAAGCTAATCCAGCTTGATCTGGAAAAATGATGGTCAACGACAGGCATGGCACGCTGTCCTGGCCCACAGAGTGCCATCGTTGATCATAGTGGTGTCACCATATGGAGATCCGACATCACTAGCGTGGAACTTAGGCGCCCAGATTGGCACCCGAGTGTACTAGAGTTGTTATGGTCAAGTTTTGCAGCCTCAGAGAGAAAACTCGATGACACGCTGTCGAGTACATGGGGAAAAGCACCCTCAGATGCATAGTTCTGAGCTTATTCCACGAGATAAAAACTCAGATTTGAACACGTTCGGACGCGTCCAGACTTCTTCGTCCCCACCTGAACCGTGAACCGAACCATCCGGAGTTGGAGAGTTTGGACGCGTCAGATAGTTGCAAAACGATAGACTCGAGGCTGGATACACGATGTAAAAGCTCGTCAATTGTTTCTGCCGTTGTTCCGGAGCTGGAGCTAGGGTGTGCAAGTCAGAAGACCAGGCAGTCTTGGCCACATATGTTGCGCACGCACCTGTCAGTTAGTGCCGGGTAAATTTCCCCCTCGTAAATTACCAATGATACAATACATGTAACATACGTGTAAAATACCATTTTTACCAAGTGACCTCCAGATGGGGCGTATTCAAATGTATTTTTTGGCCATCGGCCGCAGCTTTTCGGGGACAAGTCCAAAGATTATTTTTCTGCATTTGAATAGGTGACAGTGCTACTTTCCCTTGCGCCCCCGCCCCCCCCCCCCGTCACAGATGATGCAAACAGTCCGCTTGTCCAATCTCTCGCGAATCTCAATTGAGACGTATGTCAATCTGGAGGCACGTGGATTACTCGATCGCCTCCATCCCGCCGAGCAGAAGTCCGGAGATGCATCCAAGGTGACAGCGGGCAAGCGTCCGCAGCGGGCAGCGCTGTCAAAGCATGCTTGGAAGCCATCGGACGCTGCTTGGTCCGCGAGCGATGTCTCATGGTAATTTTACATTATTTACCAATTTTACATGCATAAAGTACGGAAGTACGGTAAAATACAGTAAGATGCCGGAATTTTGGGGCCGGTAAAATACAAAAGGTACATACGTACGCTATACAGTACAGACGGCCCCTCCAGAGCCGGCCGTAATATACATAGCAAATATGAATCTATCGGTTCTGTGTGCTCGTAATGTCGCTTAGTGTGATGGTTCCGGGGTCTTGACATCGCTTATCAATGATCACCGTCGCATAACCACTTGACATGAGCAGACCTCTCCGGGTTTCCATATGAGACCCACAAGGCGATTACTCATCTGCGAAACACTTCCGGCATGCATTACGACAATGTCAACGGCGCAAATATCACCGACACGTCCGAGCAGGTCTGGCAGACCTATATCAACAAGTACAAGGCTGCTGCACCGTTTCGGAACGTAGGCTGGCGCTGGCTTGACCAGATGGACAAGCTGGTGACTTCGAAGGCCAAAGGTGGCCATGTCCGATACATGTCCAAGATAACCACTGCGACCGAAGATTCTCCAGCCGCATCACCTGCTGCGAGTGACTCTGGTCATGATTCTGATGTCAACGAGCCAACTCAACGGGAGCCCAGTCCGAGTGTCTGGGACTGCGAAGGCTCTGGTTCTCTTCCGGGCACTGATCAGGATGTTCCGGTAAGTCTCGTTACTTTTCTGAATGATTTGCTGATTCCGTTTATAGGTGACTCCGTTTCCAGCTGTAGCGGTGTCTCGGACTTTGTCCAGTGAAGATACACCAGCTCCTAGCCAGCGTAAACACGTTTTGAGCAGTACCCCAACGTCTTCAGAGCCTATCAAGCGCTCACGCAGTTCCGAAGGCTCTTGTGCACTAGCCTCTTTGGCTCAGACATCCGCGCAATTCATTGGGGTGTTTGGTGACATGCGTGACATGCTGTTCCCGTCCCTTCCCAAAATGGATGTCACGCCGGAAGCGCTGCAAAAGCCGGGTGATCAAAATCTAGCGCTAATCCTTCTGAAATCCTACGCTGCTCTTACGCTACGCTAAATCCCTGGCAGCCGAACAGACCCTTAACAGAAGGGTGTCGCAGACAATACTGCGCAGTGGAGATACGACCAGTAGCGATCACCTATAAGACAGAGTCTCAGCGAGTGTAGAGACACAGGAGCTATATCATTAGCTGTACCTATAAGACAGAGTCTATGGTACAAGTCATAAGTAAGGTCATTAGATCGTAAGGGAGAATGCATACCTCAGCGAGTGTAGAGACACAGGAGCTGAGGATATGGAGCGTATAGTACTAGGTTTATATACCAGTCTGGAGCAGATATCATGATGTCATAGTGGAGTAATGATATCATAGATGAGTAATGGATGACGCAATAATGAGGTCAGGTATGAGGTCATTGTGGAGCAAGCCAAAGTAATCTAAGAATACTACTTATGATGTCATGTCTACATACTGTGATAGTCGCTAATACAAACAAGCTTCAACACTCCCACTCGACTAAACAGTCGGATCACGAAGACCCAAAGACAGCCGATGTTGTTGGAACTTCACCCATGCCAAAGACTTTGTGAGCGTGTCTGAGATCATCACATCAGTCGGCACATGGTAAAGTTGGACATTGCCAGCTTCAACGGATTCTCGTACGAAGTGATAGCGGATGTTGATGTGCTTCGTCCTCCTATCATGAACTGGATTTACTGCCATGAAAATAGCACCTTGGTTATCAACACAAAGAGGCGTGGATGGCAAGTCATATCCGAGCTCAGTCAACAAAGTGCGGATCCAGGCAATCTGGCGCGTAGCATCGCTCAGAGCCATGTATTCGGCCTCTGTTGAGGACAAAGCGACCGTGGGTTGGCGTCTAGAAACCCAGGTCACTGCACAACCGGCAATGAAGAAGGAATATCCCGTGGTTGAATGCCTGTTGTCTTTGTTCTCCGCCCAATCAGCATCGGAATAACCGATAAGGCCTGCGCCAGTGGAACCATCATAGCAAAGTTGGTAGTTTTTGGTGCCCTGAAGGTACTGGAGTATGTATTTTGCCATGTTCCAATGATGTTCTGACGGGTTGCTGTTGAACTTTGATAGACGGATGACTGCATAGGCAATATCGGGGCGAGTACCAAGCATGGCATATAGAAGGCTGCCAATCAGTTGCTGGTATCGGGTACGACGGTCTTCATCAACTTCTCCATCATGCTTCTCGAGCACGATGCCGGAAGGCAGGGGAGTACGAGCTTCTTTACACAAAGACATCCGGAAACGTTCTAGAACTCCTTCGATATAGGAAGCCTGATCGATCCAGATTTTACGCGCTTTGCGATCACGAACTATGTTCAGACCAAGGAAATCCTTCGCAGGACCGAGATCTGTCATTTTGAAGCGATTCGCGAGCAAGGATTTGATACGCGCTATCTCCGGCAGATTGTTGCCCATAATGAGCATATCGTCAACATACAGCACCAAGATGATGACCGTATCTCCCATCTGTTGGCGATATGTGTAGACACCGGCGTCGGAGTATGTCCGAGCAAAACCAAGTTCGAGGAGGGCATTGTGGATTTTGATATTCCACTGACGAGACGCCTGTTTCAACCCATAGAGTGATTTACGAAGGCGTGCCACCTTTTCTTTTGGCCATGACGAGAAACCTTTGGGTAATTCCGGAAGTTCCATATAGATTTCTTCCTCCAGATCCCCGTTTAGGAATGCCGTTTTGACATCCATGGCATGAATCTCCCAATCTTCGAGAGCAGCCAGAGCCATAAGTATGCGCAAAGATTCATAGCGCAATACTGGCGAGAAGGTCTCATCATAGTCAAACCCATGAACCTGAGTGAATCCCTTGGCAACAAGTCGTGCTTTGAAACGACCGTCACGCTTCCTGCTAAACACCCATCTGCATTTGACAGTCTTTCGACCGCGTGGAAGGCTGGTCAAATCCCAAGTACAGTTTTCCTCGAGAGAGTCCAGTTCTTCGCGCATTGCGCGCTCCCACTTGAGTGCATCCGGGCTCTTTGCTACATCCCGCACGTTTTGAGGCAAGTCATGCTCAGCTTGGGCAGCTGACAACATGGACTCAATGCTGCTAGGCCTCTGATACGTAGTTCCATCTGGCATAATGCGGGGCTTATTCCGACGAGGGCGGCGATGGGCAATCGGGCGATTGTCTATCGGGCCAGGCATTAGGGGTACTTCTCGCGATCCTGTGACAGGACCTTGTTGCGCGAGGGGTGCCGGTGGCGGTGGGAGAGCAGGAGGTGGTATGCTTGCATAAGGCGTTGCAGGCGCAGGATTATTGATAAGGTCAGGGAAGGTTTCCTCGAATGGTGTGAATGGCTCCGGTCCAGAGGACACATTGCCGGTGACTAGCTTGGACTTGGCAGGGAATACTTGCTCATCGAACTCAACATTTGAAGAGACTCGTTGATAGGCTGGCTACCAGACGCGCTCTGCACCAGCTC